ACTAGTTTGGGGAAGGTACTTCTGCGCCTCCCCACAAAACTGCTCTGCGGGTCTTAATGCTGGTTGGTGTAACTCAGAGAAGACATCAGAAAGGATGTAAGTGTTGATTAGTGAGCTGTTCCTCTAAAAATTTTGTGTTACTTTGCACTTTCCACAAGCACTGAACCATTATTCCAGAATGAACATCATGCTGTATTTAAAAAGTCTTGAAACAAGTAGTTGAGATAATAAACTAATTCGAAAAAGTTTGACTGATCAAGTGAGAAGTAGGGTCATTTTCTCATAGACCTCTATATAATCTGACTTCTTATTGTAGCTATAGGAGTTGCCCCCTACTGGCCATTAAAAAGAATGCATGTTTAAAGCAGTGGCTACATGGAGCTCACTTCATACTCAGCTCCATTCCAGCATTACAATTCAAACAATCCTTAATGCAGGGATGTTAACCAGCATATAAAATTACATTACCTTTGTTTGCTACAGGTGAATCTTCCCAGGGCGGTGATAATAGCCATTTCTCTGGTAACTGGCTTGTATCTGCTGGTGAACGTGAGTTATCTGACGGTAATGACGCCTGCAGAGCTCATGTCCTCCAATGCGGTTGCAGTTACCTGGGGGTAAGACATCACCTGATCAGGATGCTGCACACAGACTAATACTTAGACTTGCTGTTTGTTGTGTTAAAGCTGTGGCTTTAATCTGATCAGATTTGTTTTAATTACTTCTGCCTTGAATCAGAAGGAAAAGATATCATTTCACATTTACATTCTCACCACAAACAATTCATTTTCTACTTTTTCCACAACTCACACTAATGTAACAAAGGTGGAAATTTATAAAAAATTGAACACCTTAAATTTTGAAATTTTAATGCATCGATTACCTGTTGTAGTTTTAATAAGAAAAATATTTTGTTCCGCAGGAATAAGGTGTTGGGCAGCTGGGGATGGATCATGTCTGTGGCTGCAGCCTTGTCTGCTTTTGGTTCATTAAATGGGACGTTCTTCAGTGGAGGCCGTGTATGCTTTGTTGCTGCCAGGGAAGGACACATGGTAACGGTCCCTCTACCTTATAAAAAATAATACTTGTATAAAAAGAAGTTGCTGGCAGAGTTTCACCCTGACCTGTTTTTGTTTTGTAGCCAGATATTCTGGCCATGGCTCATGTCCGCAGATTGACTCCATCTCCAGCGTTGATCTTCACCACTGTGGTCTCTCTAGTGGTGCTCATGGCTGGAGACTTTCAGAGTATCATCAACTACTTCAGGTGAACACCTGTGCACTTCTTCTTTATTTCTTGTTATTCCTTATGTACAACGTTCTGTGGTTGTCTTATATCCCCTCTTCTCTGCTGTTGTCAGTTTCACTGCCTGGTTTTTCTATGGCATCACCCTGTCTGGACTAATCTATCTCAAAATCAAGAAACCAGACCTTCCCAGACCCTACAAGGTTAGTGTCACACGCTTTATTCTATTTTTTTTTAACATTGCATGAGAATCACAGTTTCCGGTCATGCCTGTCTCTTCCTGTCTCCACAGGTTCCCATCATCCTCCCTATACTGGTCCTCCTTGCGGCAATATTCCTTGTGCTGGCACCCATCATCGACAATCCTCAGATTGAATATCTCTATGTGACTATATTTATATTAAGTGGCGTTATAATTTACATACCCTTCATCCATTACAAGCTCTGCCCAGGACTGTTGAACAAGTTAACAATGTTCCTGCAGCTCTTCTTAGAAGTCGCCCCAGCAGAGAAAAACATGTGATTTCTGCAGTGCACAAACAGATTTTTTACATCCGCCTCATGGTGCAGGCAGCCATAATCTGCCAAAAAGCAATAACAGATCTTGTTTCCATGGACAGTCTTTAAAATGATAGCAATCCCAATGTCTTTTGCACATGTGCACATTTTTATTATTTTTTTTGTTGACTTTTAAATCTAAGTCAAATCATAGAAGAATGTATGTTGTGCATGTAATGAATACAGTTTAGGAACAGCTAATGGTTTCTATCTTGGTGAATTTGGAACCTGCATTTCAGCTTTTTGTAAATTTATTATTTGTTTGTTTGTTAGTTTTTTTAATTGTATGTTTTTACAAAAGGGTTCCAAATCTAACACACATAAAAATGCATTTTAAACTAATTTTATGACAAGAGAAACCCACGCCTGTACAGACAGATTCCAATTTCACTTTTTTTGTTGAAAGATATAAAGATAAAATAATGTTCTTGGGCAACTAAAAACAGGTATTCCTTTGTATTTGTCTGCTCATGTGCAAAACAAAAACACTACTGTGAAAAGACACTTTAACATTCCTCAAATGCAATGGCAAGCAAAAGGAGAAAAAGCACTCCATGTGAAATGCTCATTCGCTTTTATTTGACTAAAACAATAAAAAGGTGTCACGCTGCAGCTTCTCCAAGTGAAAAATACAAAAACTGCAGCACCCTGTATGTCGTTCAATAGTTACTGTTATAAATACAATGTAGTTTTAAAGAGCTGTGTGTGATTTCAATAAAATAATGCATCAGAAAGTATGTGTTACAAAACAATATTTGCAGGGTCTTCTTTTTTGCCAAATGGCAGCATGGATGAATGGATGCCAATGTCAGACAGATCCTGGATGCAACACATTGGTCAGACTGAAAAATCTCATCAACTACCAGATGGTTTGATGTGCATGTTCCACAGGTATTCATGTTCCCCAGAGGATAAATCCTGACTTTGGTGATGCCCTGGCTTTCTCTTTAACAATGCTTAACATTTGTTGATTTTAGTGAAATAAACAGCTATTCAATGGATTACCAAAACATCTAACACATATTTATGTCCATCTGTGGATTTACTTTGGTGATCCTTTAAATTTCTTCAGGTTGAAAAGTTTATGTGTCCAGTACTTCAGCTTGTGATGTTTAGTTTTAAAGCATGAGTATTTCAGCACGATAAAGACTGAGCTTGCAAAAAATCTGCATTGCAAGCATATTATCATGCTTATGTTGATTTTTTGCAGTATTTATATTCTACATGACTCAATTTAGCTAATGTATATTTTGTTCTGTCAAAACCAGCTGTAATTAACTTGTTTAACTGAACTACAACATCAGTGGGAAGGAATCTTAACGAAGCTAAGCTTCTCTAAACAAATGTGCTTTTTAAATCTTATAGGTGGAATCTGAAAAAGATAGTTAATAATTAGCAAAATGACTTTGTAGATAATTCATATCTATCAAAAAGGGCATAGGACACACTAGAATAATATGGTGCAGATAAGTCTGAGCCAAGTTCTTTGTTTCCTATTGACAGAACCAGGGCTGTGCACGAGCACCAGATGTTTTATCAGTGCACACTCAGAACAGGCCGCTCGCTGACCATAAGGAAATATTCACTGAATTAAACAAAAAGTGTATTTGATTGGAATTGTTATTGATGGATTTCAAATTCAAAACAAACACTCATACAGATGTGTAAATTTAAAAAAAAAAAAAAGTTTATTAAATAATTATCCACCAAAAGGATAAAACAAGACATGGCCAATTCATAGTGCAATTCACAAGACAAAAGATTGTTCAACACAAAACAGGGAAGAGCAGGGAGAAGAGAGTGTAAAATATACTGTTAATACATATTCAGAACAAATTACTGTTTGACTTGAGTTCAGAGTAGTTTGTCCAACGAGTAAGTGCCACATTCTCTCTCTCTTTTTGTTTTTTTTCCTTGCTTAGCTTTAATGATCTGTGACTTGACAAATGGCATGTGGGCAGTTTGGAAACAAGCAGTTTCATAATATAATCTTAAAGGTCTTAATACCACCTCGATCCAAAATAGGGTTTTCCATCCAAAAAAATCTGAAACTCAAGATCTTAAAGTGTCTCTTATGTATCCTTAATGTGTGTCTGAGTGTTTAAGAGAGAGTTCTTTAGTCAAAATCCAGCTCTGGCATCACTCCCCTCCACTTTTCTTCTCTGTGCCATTAGAAGCATTTGACTTGTTCTCAGATCCATCTTCACAGCTCTGCTCCCCCGTCTCACTCCTGCCCCCCTGTGACGATTGGTGGTACAGCATGTGAAGGCGCTCTGCACTCACATCTGCGTCTTCCGCCCCCTCGCAGCACTTTATCCAGGATTGAGGAATGGCTTCGATGCCATAGTGGGCCCCAGCGATGGCCCCTGCCATGCAGGCTATGGTGTCTGTGTCCCCTCCCAAAGCCAGACTGTAAGCTATCGTCCTCTCCAGGCCGCCGTACTTCTCTGGAAGGCATTCCCGAGGCTGCAGGCAGTGGAGGACGCAGAAGATGGCCGTGGGGACTGAGTGAAGCGCTGCAATGCCGTTACCTGTGGGAAAAGGCCGGAAATGATCATCGGCAAATAAAAGAAGGGAGAAAAAGAAAATCTGGCAGATTAGAATATGGGTTGGTCACAAAGGAAACATTTTAATAAACAGAGTTGTGTTAATTGAGACTGAGACAAAGAAGACGAAACAGAAGTTTTATCACCTGTGTGCTGTGCCCAAATAAAATATAGAAGCTAAAATCTACATTTTCATCATAGTGCACTTAATAGTTGATGGTATTGAAAGCCGACATTTCTTCTGCTATGGCCATTAAATGTATTTACGCTAAGTAGCAGTTAGCACTGTGGACATTCCTACAGTGGATTTAAATGGTGTGCACATGTACAACAGATTGACCAGTAAATGAATATGCTCATTCTGAACAAAGTTCTTAACTGAACATGAGCACATTGTATGTAGTTTGTGTACATGCACACATCATGTGATGTTTTTCTCCAGAGGAGCTGGTCACTGGCAGTTTGAAGAAGAAACATATTCTCATCCATACAACTAGATCATGAACACAACTACTTTCTATTTTTAAAGAATACAATGAAAACAGGTATGTGAATTGTTTGTCTTCTTTTTTTGTGGCCAGTGATCAAACATAGATTGTTTCAAACGTAACTCTAGAAGTGGTGTTATTATGATGCTCTTAGTGGGACGGAATAGGATGCATGGAGAATAAAAAGAGTCATGCAAACCTCAAAGAAAGGTCACGATGAAGTCAAAGACAAACAGATACTGACCCAGTTCAGAGATGACTTCCTCTATGCTGACTTTGCTTCTGTCCATCAGGTCTCTAACTCTGTGAAGACGCTCACAGAATGGCTTCTCTGCTTCTTTTAGGCTGCAACGAAACATCATCTTAAATAAATATGAAAAATAACACAGCCTGAACTGGACATTTCAGACTTAATTTTTTTTTTCCATCAATATAATTTCCTCATGTTTCCTGCCAATGATTCCCAAGTTTCAGACTATATTTTTGATCTCCCCAAACAGACACGATTAGATCAAATCTGAGCTGAAGCAGCCGTACAAGAGGTTTAATTCATCTACTACTTACATTCTGGCATCATTGCGTGCTGCCTCATTACCCTCCACTTCCTCCATCTCTGTGATTAGCCTGCTGATGAACTGCTGAGGTAAATCTAGCGCCCCCTGCAGGGAGAGGTGCACAGCCAACGCCTGCAGCACTGCCCCATTATACCCCAGAGAGCAGGAGTGTGTCAGCATGGCACCCAGGCGGGCAAACTACACGGGAAAGACAAAGAATTCATTGAATATGAAGGTAAACATTTTTGTTTATACCCAAATTATTAGTGTTAGTTTGTCCTGACTTTTGCAAAAGTGATCACTTTTTTAAAAAATGTATCATCTTAGCGTCATCAGTTTTGTGCTAAGATGCTTGTTCAGCTGTTATCCGACCACAGAAGAAGAACAAAAACAAATACTTGACATTGTGTAATTGTGCAGTTATTATACTGACCAAATTATACTTGGTCACTTAAAAAAAAAGTGTATTCACATTGATTGCAGATAGTACATTGTTGAAGTTTTAGGTGAAAATGTGTACGGGTCTAAAAACAGGACGACTAGTAATTGACTTACATTGCTGATGAAATGAAAGAAAACTCAATATGCATGTCATCATCAAGGATGTGTTTTTTTCCCCCAATTTAAACTCACTGCTCACCCTTTTAACATCAGCCAGGTCAGGAAAAGCCAGCGCGAAGGGGGCTGCTCTCATGGCCCCTCCGTTCCCAAAAGAGCCTCGCCCATTAAACTGGTCCCTGGCCGGCTGATACACGTCACTCAGCTGGGGGGAGGAGAGCTTCTTCAACACCTGGATCACTCCAGAACCATAACCACGGCCCGGAGATGCACTGTACTCCTTAGCAAACCTGGAGGGTGGAGATACCAGGCCTTATGTTTAAGTGTATAAATCTTAATTTACTTTGCAAGGCTTTGAAACAATATGTATAGCATAACACTAAGAGTGGGAAGTACAGAGTAACTCATGATATTGTCATGATACGTTGCCCACAATAATGATGGTATCATGATACAGCGATTCTGTGATACTTGATGCACTGCAAGACAATCATCTACAATACATCACAATATCTGTATAAATGAAGGAAAAATATCCCCCAAAAAAGGGGCAACGAGTAGGAATTATGTATTTATTCACAGCAATGTCCAAAAACAAGCTGAGGTTAATTGGTGATTCTAAATTGTTTGTAGATGTGGATGTGAGTGTGCTTGGTTGTCTGTCTCTAAGTGTAGCCCTGTGATAGACTGGTGACCTGTCCAGGGTGTCCCCTGTCTCCACCCTAAGTCAGCTGGGATAGACTCCAGCCCCCTGCGACCCTAGTGAGGATTAAGTATAGATAATGGATGGATGGATGGATGGATGGATGGATGGATTTTCCCCAAACGTGTGCAAACACAACAGTGTGCTTAATTCCTTTTTCTTAACCCTCATAAACTGACACACTAAAGCACAGCAGCTTTGACGAGATTGGGATTGGGCTATTGTGTCAGGAGTGTGTGTTCTTCTACCTGCGAGCCATGTCCTGCTCATCAAAGCCGGCCCGGGTGAGCAGAGATTGAACCACACAACGGGCCATGGCTGTGTCGTCACTGTATTCAAGGATACCTAACACAGACACACAGACATATAGACACCATATATACATATTAACTCAAAAAGATTTTAGCACAAATATGAGCCCTAGTATTTCAACACTGTCTACAAAATACTTTTGAAAACTTAGTCATCATGAGGTAACATTACTAATCCAGTACTGTCTCTTTCCATTAGCCATATAAGTGCAGCTTCAGACTTCTGGTTACTCTTTTGGTTCACTACTTTACAGTACATTCCAGTGGACTACAGCTATTCAGAATAAACGCATGGTTAACAAACACTTCATGACCAGGATTATTCGCCCAGTTTGACATCAGATATTTCAGTGATGGCATGCTAGCAAAGCCTTCCCCGCCATACAAGCTGCTCTGCTCACTGGCATTAAATCTCATCCTTTCACTAACCGTTCCCTTTAGTCTCGTCGTCCAGGCTGCTCAGGTGCTGCAGCACACTCTCCATGGGAACCTCCTCCGCTCCTTCAAACTCTCCGCCGACACAGTCACCCAGCACAGCCGCGACCAGGGCTCCCCTGAACCGGGACAAAGACGCCGGGCCCCCCGCTGCCACCGCTCTCACTGCCGTCATTGCCATTCATCCGCCGCTGAACAGACCTCAACTTACGCCGAGAAAAGTGTTCACTGACCAGACTGTCTGACAGCTATTGGGTGGATACAACGCAAATGACAACAATAACAACAAACGTTGACTTAGCTCTCCTCTGAACTGCTTCCTGAAAGGGGTTTGACGCCTATCTGACCCCCGGTGAAAGGTTCGGGTCGTTGGATATAGAAATACAATTACATACAACGGCACTGTATAGACTGCCTATGTGAGACGCGCCAGTCGGTTCTGGTTTGTCTATTTCTATACCAGAAAATGTGCTGGATATCGAAGCGCATAAAATAAAGGCGCATGAACGTTTTTAAACAGTGTACTAGTACTATCTCGACTTACGTTGTGCCGCTTTACGGCAAAACTCTCCTGACAACAAATAAAAACAGCAATAAAACACGAAGCCTCTGGGTCACTGGACATACATGAAAAGCGAAATGCACACCAATTTAACTCAAAACAATCATGGATGTTTTAGGTATTATTTAACACTGATACACTTTTTTTTCAGAATGTTACAGAAGAGTTACGGTAAAGCCGTACATTCATTAAGATCGCCCCCTGCTGGACAGGAGAACTGACCCTGAGACGAGGGGACGTCTCTCACAGCTCAATGTGATTTTAACAGTCAGTATTGAACTGAATATCTGATATAGAAGAGTAAAACTGAAAACAAATTACAGACCAGTGTATTTTCTCTTTATGGCCTTACTGTCATTCTTAATTGTTCTAATTTGCCTCAACAATTCACAGAACCGTAGGCTGCATGTATGCAAGATGTTGATTATCACATTACAAACCATCCTGTTCACCAACCTAACATAAATAAAGTAATGTAACTGCAGGGCCTTCTCAAATAAAGCATGTCTCTAGCCCATAAAAATTACTCTAATAATCTGATAAGAGCTGCCTTCAAATTAACGTTATTAGGTCTATATTAGGTACACAGTGTGACTTGGCAAGTACTTTACACATTTTTGCCCTTATTAAAATAATAGTAAGAAAATATTCAGTATATACACATTACTTGGATAACCGCAGTCTGTAATAATGCTTTAGTTGTGTTACGTATACAATTAAATACATTTTGTGTAGGTGTGTGCTTTAAATTATGCAAGTGGTTACTTGGAATGTATGAAACTGTAAGAAAGGAAAATGGAGGGTGTGGGCTTCGTTAGCTGAACGTGTGCAAGCATCAAACAAATGTGCCATTTAACTTCAATGATAAATGCTGAGTTTCATGCTGGACTGAAGTTACCGTAATGACCCAAGTAATACAGCACGGTACATTTTTTTATGGAAATTGCAAAGTATGGTGTCCACATTTAAGGACAAGAAAAAAAAGTATCCAAGTATAATAATACGTTTGCATAACAGCAGACTGCCCGTGTAAAAACAACGTATGGTTTTGACTGGAACAGGTCACCATCATTTCCAATATGTACCGTCTCAGGAGTAAAAGAATGAGAACACCATCCAAACATTACGGTAATGTGAACCCATAGCTTGTCCATTAAAGTGTTTGGCTTTTTGTCATTGACTCCGTATTTACATAAAAAGATACCAAAATGCGAAAACATTAGAGGGCTATCTAGCGTTTACAGTTTCTAAAAAAGTTAACTTACCAGCGTTTGGCTGCGGCAAGCTTGTTTCTCCGTTGAGGTACAGCATCCTTGTTGTTGCTAGCTGTTTGCATACATGACCCATAACCCTCGGAGGAGGTGGGCGTTTGGAAGCGCGGCGTCTGCAGCATAATTAAAACATGGCGGACTCGGAGGAATTTAGACTTAAACGATTGAAGGTAAGAAATACACACTAAGAGTATTACTATAGTAGCGATAACACGCAAGCTAAATTGATTAGCGAGTCTAGCTACCTATTGTGGCATTCTGTCACAGTGGGCTAGCTTCTGGTCGAGATGTGCATATTAAAGCTAACGTTAGCTTGCTAGCTTAAAACCCTGTAGCTCTGTGCTTGCTTTTCTGTACCGATGCATGCTGCTACGCATAGCTCAATTTAACAGCTTGACAGTTTCATAACGAGCAAACAAACATATAAAATACAGTATGTCGCTGGCTTTTTTGTGACTCTCGCGTCAGTTTAGTAACCCAATCACTGCAACTTAGTGTTGCAGTTCACTGCTGATTTCACAAAGCCCTCTGCAACGACGAGAGCTGCTGTGAACAATAAAGAGATTTATTTGGAGTTACGCTTTGCCACTTTAGTCTTATTTTTACTTTAAAACTCCAGCAATTGCTACGCTGCCTTAGGCATTAGTTTGTTGTGTCTTTGCGTGTATAAATGAACACATATGCTAGAACGTGAAATATGGCTGATTTTTAAATTGAGGTTGGTGGGACGCCCTCTCTGTGGACAGCACGAGGCCCGGAGCCCTTAACACCACCATAACAACACATTAAAAACATCCAGGCTGGTGTCAGAACAGTGGACCCAAAAGTATATGAACAGCTAAACTATCAGCAAACTTCCACGATGTTCATAAGCTATTTCCTATGTCACATAAACTGATCCTCTGAATAGCTGATCTACCACACCTCCACAACAACATAATGACCACTGTAGCTGTCATTTGAAAAAGTACCAGAACACCCCAAAGAAGAAAGTAATTGAACAACTTCTGACTGTCACTTTCGTGGAACGTGTCCAGCATAAATGTGATGAACTAGACCTGTGGTTACTGTGCTAGGGCCACCTGAGAGAACTTAGCAATAATTGACATTGTACATTCACTATACATTCACTATACATTACCATCACTAGTTAAAGACACATTAAAAAATGGCAAAGACTGGTAAAGCTTAGAGAAAAGATCAAACATCGTTTGCACAAAAGAAAGCCGCTCTACTCATCAGATCGGCAAACAAGTCAACCTTCCATCCTCCACAGTTGGATATCAATACTGCAGGACTTACAACTGAGAACAGAAGGCCCACAAGCAGACCAACAAAGACCAGGAGCAGAGTCAACCCCATAATTGTGAGTAAATTCAAGAAAAACGGGCAAGAAACAGCAGCAAAAAGAAAAAGAAAAAACACTTAAGCAATCAAGGGGAATTTCCAGATACAACTCAGTTCAAGGCAAGGTATAGGCATGGATATTTAGAATTTTTTCAATTATTGGTATCATTGTTTTGTTAAACTGATTCCCAAGAAACTAAATTTGGCAAAATGGCAGAAACCATTCATATTCTGTTATAGGAGTAGGGGAGTCATTCCATGCAAAATCAACCAAATCTGAAAAAAGTTTCCACATGGCTGACATTTAATTTACAATAACTTTAGTATATTTAATGAAGCCATGCAAAATGTTTATGCTATGATATATTGAATTACACAGGGGTGGGTCAGACCTGGGGCTTTGTAATTCAAGTTACATTTTCTGGTATTTTTAAGCCCTAAAATGTTTGTAGGTAAAGCAGATAGCCACATGAAATTTTCAGGAATAAAAACAAAAAACATATAAGCTGTTAAAAACTGCAACCAGATCATTTTACATAAAAGCCAAAATTTTACCAGCTTTGGGCATCAATATGAAATGATATGTCATAGTTTCAATGTCCAATTTCACCATTTTATCTTCATTTTAATTGTTGTATTTGTAGTTTCCACCATTTGCCATATCCATCTAAACTTCACGAAGCCAAAAGATCCTGTACAATCAGTTTCCTGCCTCATAGAAACAACAGCTGTTGGATACCAAGATCATCACTGTTGCCCACAATCTGACGATGGAAACAGCTGTCAGTACAAACTGACGAAACAATAACTGACAACTATCAGAGGAGAATTTGAACTGTCAAATGAGCACCGAATACTCCAAACATGTTGTGCCAATGCAATTTGTCTGAATTATTATATAAAATGTGGACACCAATGTTGTTTCTCCATTCCACAGCCATAAACTACTTACAGATTGGTGCCGTTTTACCACTGAAAGTATAATATATTCCATGATATTAATGCTAAACATGATAACAGAAGAAATAGTTCTAAACAAAAAAGAGATTTTGGCTTTTGATTGTGACACCTGGAGTGAATGTAAAATTTATTTGGTTGCCATTTGTAACAGCTCTTTTCCAGAGCCCTGAACTAAAACCCACACCCACCCACCTGTGGGATGCCTTGGGGAAAAAAAATGTTGCTTGTTGATGCTGGCTGAAACGTGGAGGAAACTTTCACCACAGCTGTTACAGCAACTGGTTTATTTCATGCCCAAATGTTGTCAAGCAGTTATGTAAGCTGACGGATGACAAACTAAACTCTAAAACATTTTAACTTAGATTTATATTGAAGCCACTATTAGGTGTCCAAATATGTTCCTTGTCTGTATTTTTGAACATGTTGCATCTGTTGTTTACTTGTTTTAAACCTAACAAAGTTATTTTTGTGGGATATTTTGCTCGATTGCTTAAATATACATAAATGAAGCAGGGAAAGATAAATAAGGTTTTACATCTACGGCAACCTCTAAGGACTTGTGGCTCAGTTACTTTATGAATACATTGTGAATTGAAAATTTTCCAATGCAGTCTTGTGATAGATTACTGCATCTTGATTAGAAATTCAAGCTGATATACTTTGAGATCATTGTTATGTGAAATGTATTCACAGGTGATCCAGTGTTACCTGATACATCTAAAACTATGTTTGTTTTGAATACGAGGAAAGAACGGAAAGTTTATGTTTCGTAAAATATGTACAGCTTGGGTTATATGTGTACTTTAAATGTATTGAACATTTTATCTCTATGATTTGAATTTGCAATTGTTAGACAGTCTTGTATAGAGGAATAAGGTACATCATCCCTAACAAAAAAACCCGATATGAGTTTGTCCCTTGTGACCCATTTTTAGCTGACCTTTCTCTCCTATACAGCATGAGGAGCGCATGTCCAGAGTGTTTGATGAAGTGATGGGCCTGGGGGAATTTGCTGACTCCTCCAGAGGCTCTGCCACCTCTTCCAAGAGCGGCGGTCAGGACGAGGCAAAGGAAGTGGACGAAACTTTAGGACATGAAGAACAACAACCGATTGAAGAAGAGGATAGCAACAGCAGCAGACAAGAGGAAAAGATGGATGAGGTGGTGGAAGACTCTACCTTTCCTCGTATTGCTTCCTCTTCCTCTGACCAACACAACTCGTTTAACATGGGATCCAACGAAGGAGGAGGTGGAGGAAGTGGGGGTGCAGCGTTTGATGATGCACTGGATGGTCTTCCTTCATACGGACAAGAAGAAGAAGAGGAAGACTGGCATTTTGCCCTGCCAATGGGCACCTTGGAGGATGTGGATGTGAGTAAGGCCAACAGAAAAATAAGCCAACCGGCAAAGGAGAACAGTGAAGTTCCAGGTGATTCCTTTGCCCGTGAGCCCAGAGAGGAGGAGGAGGAGGAGGAGGAAGAGCAAGAGCAAGAGCAAGAGCAAGAGAGGGAGGGGAGCAATGCTTCTGCCAACACCTCCCACTCCTCACAGGACCACACCCCGGAGAACAGCAGAGGTAAAGCTAATATAGTTTTAAAGGGCAAGATTGATCCCAAGTACCATATTGCACTTATCTGTCCACTGAACGGCGCCACATTACCTTCATGGGCCCTCAACACCCCAAGACAATTAAATTTTAAATTTAGGACTACTTCCAATTTTACAAAATTGGCACACAATTTTAATGATAATCAGTCATTTAGAGTGGTGTTCAGGCTGTTAAAGCAGGTGTATAGTGTCCTCTGTGTCTGTTGGTGAATCTTAACGGGGCTTGAGCTTACAGACTACACATTTCTGCTAGAAAGCCGAGGTAACAAACTGGATGTGTCTTTTAAAGATTTAGGGGACCACTCACTCAGACTCACTCAGAATTCACAACTTTTCCCACGTTATGTCATGACTTTCTTAAAACATCAACATTTCTATTAATTCATGGGACCATGCAAAATCCTAAAGTTCTCCTCCTAATACTTCTTTAGTTGTTTTTATTTTGTTTTTGGGTTGTTTTTTTTTTAGATTTGACCCTCAGAACCAACTTTCATAATAACTTATACCTAGAAAAGATTTGGTCCTGCATAACAAAACTAACTAGCTGTGTATATATATATAAAACACTTTTAAAGGTATTTTTACTGTATACCTTTCAAGAACAATTATTTTTACTTAGATGGCACTTTCTATAGAAAAGTTTAGCTATTCAATGCAGGAAATTTAAAGATGTTATATTACTCATTCATCATGTCATATATATTTTTTAAAACAGCAATTTTTTCATACTTTTTACGAGCTTTAATTTTACACCCAGTAGTTTTATTTCATTGATGGGATTTGTACAATGAGGTTTGATCACCTGTGTCTATAAAAAAAAACTATACTTGATTTAAAATTGGATCCACTCAGAAATAATCGCCTTGCACAGCAATTAGCCACCCCCAGCATGCTGCTGTCACACCCGTAACACTCTGTTTAAGTCCTGTTATGAAAGCAGTGAAACACCATCTGCCATGGGCACTGAGTTTTCTAAACTGAAAACAACAACCCTTTGAAATGAATTTCATTTTGAGAAAGAGTAGGAAGTTTCAGTTATCACAATTTAGTGAGGAGGGCAGTTGGGGGTCGACAGTTGTGGTGTTGTGGCCCCCAAAAAAACAGTGTGTAATCACCGTGTTGTGATCGGGTGCACAGTGCAATTTGGGCTCCCACATGCCGTTGCAGCACAGTTCAGATTGTGCTGAATTTCCTCCCTCAGACACTGTAGGACAGTACAGTAAAATTCTGCCTTGACAGTCCAGCCTGATAGGGTACATTCAGAACACACAACCATGTGAATGTCCAAAAAGTCAGAGCATGCTCCTGGTGTTACTGATCTGATGCACCTTTACTGGTCTTTGAGACTGCGGCTCTTTGTGAAAACTGGTATTTAAAATTCTGGACCGGAGCCATAAATCCACCTCAGTTCACAAGTGATGATCTTCCACATGAAGGTTGAGTCATCCTGAGCCTGTTGACTGACAGAATTTGTTGTTTGCTCTCTGCTTCAGTGTGAGATCCATGCTGGAATAGCAACTGTGCGCCAACCAGTGGTGACAAAAACCTGTGTAACTCACATCTCACAGGTGATCGTGCAATGTTATGCAGACTGATGGCCCGTGACAGTTACTCCTTACATGTGCACACGTGAACATCTTGGTCATACCTCGTATGTTGACCTGAAGGAGCTTTTTTGTTTGTTTGTTTTATTTTTTTCCTCTGTGCAATAAGTGCTTACCTTGTTTTCAGTGGGCACAGGGAATTTCCACATTACAGCTTGTAATGGCTTGTTTTGATATATGCAAGACAATGTCGTCCTGTTCTGTGTGGCTGGACAAATATTTATCTTGGCCGATTAGATCAACAGACATGGATTATTTTGCAATATCAAATTTTAATCAGCTAATTTTTTACATCAGCTACCAGTGTTAGAAAACAATTAAGGAAGCTGGGACACAATTCTGCCTGGAACAGGGTTGGGCAGATCTTTGCAACTTACCCAGAAGTACTTAAAAGAGTGCAGTCATAATTAATTATAATGGTAAGCAGTTTAATGTGATACTGGGCTATTTTCCGCTGCAGGATCTCTGAGAGATCATGGTGCCCTGCTCTATTGAGAAAAGACTTGAAGAAGAAACGAGTTGTCATAACCAACCTATACGAATGGAAAAGTTGATCTGTCAAGTTTGGCAGAGTTGGGAATAGACAAGGAGCTCTTTGAAGTTAAGAAGTGGATGTTCTGACTTTAAAGATGATGCCACAGTTTGTTTGCATCTGCAGAACTACCTTGTGGTGAAATACAGCTTTCTTCATAAGAAATGTTCTGATCCTTCAATGTGCATTCCAGCACAGTTCCTCACCGAGGACCAGAAATGCAGAGAAAGCAAGACTGCTTACAACATGCACAGGAAAGTCTATCAAGCCTGGACAAAAGGCAGGTTCCCTTGTGTGTGACAGAGGACTCCAAGTTCACTGGTGGAACCGACACTAATGAAGATACACAGACGACTGAATAAGAAGAGTACACACCATGTAGCTAGCTGGCATGAAACCCTGCCGGTGTCATCAGTATATGCTGCAATAGTGGACAGCATGAATGAAGAGCAAGGCTTCTTCCCTGTAACCCAGTACTATTAGGCAGACACTCGAAGCCAGCTATGGGACTCGTACATGTTTAGAATTACAGAAAGCTGTTTGGCAAGATGGTTTCACTCTGTTTGGGACTGTTGCACTCAATTTTGTGTGGAAATGGCCAAAAGTGTTTCAGGTGGGATCTAGCCCAGACTCGCTTTAATTGTTTTCTACTGCTACTAGTTGATGATTTTAGAAACTGGCTCAGAAAAGTTTGCAATTGCAACATTGGAATGTGTACTGAGCTAATGAAGTAAGTAAATATTTTGTCCAGAAGCATCTAACAAAATAATATCATCTAGTATGTAGATGAAGCAAGCCATGACAAGATATAACTTACAAAGTGTCCTGAACCCAATTTAAAAACAGGTTGAAAAGGTATCGCACACAGCGACAGAAATCCTGGAAGTCAGCTGGATACAAATACCCATCTAAGAAATATAACCACTGATGGTAATACTACTGCTGGTGAAAACAAAGAAAAAGTAGCTTAAAAAAATGTAATGATGAAGGGGTGATATAACATTTTAATTGTTTATATCTCTGCAATCAATATTAATACTTTATTACAGTTAAAATAGTTCCTCTTGGGAAAATCTGCAGTCAAAATATCTTAAAAATGTGTGTTTTTCAGCTCTGAAGTTATGTATTTTTGAAGGACTAAATCACTATTTGACCTATTAGTAATACACAGAATCACAGTTTGTTGCAAGAGAGTGAAAACATTTGGAAATATATTTATTTATATCAGGCTGCTCTGGGTGTTACCATAGCAATGCGCAGATGAGCTGTGTCTTGACATGTGAATGAGAGAAACGCGATAAACATGGATTTCGAGGTTAATTTTAATATTTTTGGCCGAAACAAAATCAAAGAGAACGGGCCAGTGTCGTTTAATAAATGTACAATTAATGGAAATATTCAGTTCCATTGTAGTGTGTAAATGCATAATTAAATGTAGTCAAAATAGTTAAGCAACATTTATTGATTTGTTACGGTTTTAATTGTATTAATATATTTCATTTAATTGTACCTAGGGCCAAAGGCCTGTTTTTGTGTGTAGGCCTAGCCGACATTAATAATCAAGCATTCCATTTGTCTTGACAACGGTTGCCTAGGATAAGTATTGAGATTTGCATAAACTAGTCCCAAAACCTTAGGCATTTTTAGCAAGTTCTATTAATTAAATAAATATTTTGTGTGTTTGCTCGCTGTGTGGGACCATGGCATAAGCGGATTAAACAATGAGGAGCCGTGTACTACACGGTTTGAATACACTTAGCGGAGTAACACCACTCGCGGAGTGGTTTGAATGCACGCAGTGCATTCAAACCGTGTAATGCACGGCTCCTCGTTGATTAGTCCTTACCTATATCACGCAGTGTCTTGACATGTGAATGAGAGAAACGCGATAAAACATGGATTTAGAGGTTAATGTTAATTTTTTTCCCCCCCGAAACAAAACGCATGAAGAATGGGAAGAGGAGGAGAGCAAACAAGAAGAACAGCAAAAGCAACGACATAAAAATGTAACATCGGACGAACTCGACAAGCTTGAAGACGAGAAAGAAGAAGAGAACACGAAGAAAGTAACAAAATGGGCAGTCACAATTTTAAGAGATTTTCTAAAGGAGAAGGGAAGAAATACTGATCTAGATTTGTCAGCCACTGAGCTCAACAGCATTTTGAGAGAATTTTACGCTTCCGTGCAGTCTCAAGAAGGGAAACACTACAGTGTAGCCAGTTTGATGTCCATGAGAGCTGCTCTTAACCGCTTTTTCCGTCACTTCAACATCATTGCCGACTCTGATTTTCAAACGAGTAACGCTGTGCTCAAATCTGTAATAAAGCGTTACAGAAAGTCAGAGAACGACAAGAGCAGCCACCATCCTAAAATAAGTGAGAGCGACATCCAAATTATTACAGCATCCAATGCCCTCTCCTGTGATACACCCGCTGGACTAGTGCGCAAAGTTTGGTGGGACATTCAGCTGTGCTTCGCCAAGAAAGGCCGTGAAGGAAACAGACAGCTGTCCAAATCATCATTTGTCCTCCTTCGAGATGACGACGGCATCGAGTATGTTTCTTTGGCCCATAATCCACACACCAAAAACCACGCCAACCCCAATGAAGCTCAGAAGGAAAACCCACGTGGATTTATGTTCGCGAAGCCTGGAGATCCTTTGTGTCCGGTGACCAGCTTTAAAAAGTATGTGTCCAAATGCCCAAATGACGCTACAGCCTTTTACCTGCATCCAAAGCGCATCCGAGACCCACAAGCGGAGGACATCTGGTACGCCAAAGAGCCAATGGGGGTACATTTCTTGGGCAACATGTTGAAAAAGATTTGTGAAGAGGTAAGAAGAAAAAAGGCCTGTATACGTCATGATTTATTTAGCCTACCACATCCTAGACTTAAACATTAATCGTTGTTTCTCAGGTCCGCCTTACTGCCCCCCTCTCACGCATTTACACCAACTACAGCATCAGGAGCACAGCGGTTACGGGGCATCGCTGTGAAACCAGCTTGCGCTCCTGTTTGGCACCATCAACAGAAGACAGAAAAAATGGGAGCAGCACGACTCAAGAGGAGTCCACAAACCCGCACAGGCCTCAGATGAAGAACTCCGACAAAGAGAACGCGCCAGTGTCACTTAATAAATGTACAATGAATGGAAATATTCAGTTCAATTTTAGTGTGTAACTGCATAATTAAATGTAGCCAAAACAATTAAGCAACATTTACTGATTTGTTATGGTTTTAATTGTATTAATATATTTTACTTAATTGTACCTAGGGCCAAAGGCCTGTTTCTGTGTGTAGGCCTAGCCTACATTAATAAAATCTGATGCTATAATCAAGCATTCCATTTGTCTTGACAACAGTTCCCTAGGATAAATATTGAGACTTGCATAAAATAGTCCCAAAAACGTAGGCATTTTTAGCAAGTTATATTAATGAAATAAATATTTTGTGTGTTCACTCACTGTGTGGGACCATGGTATAAACGGATTAAATGACTCTGAGACGCTCAGAGTTGTTTAATCCTTACTTATATATATTAAACTTTTTACTTTTGTTTGTTTTTTGATGTTAAGTACTATCTTCAACCCAGTCCAGAAAACTAATCAGTTATTGAGACTTAACGTACACATACAAAATGATGAATTTTAGGTCAGAAGCCTCAGAGAGCACATAGTGTTGTAATTGAGAAAAATTCCTTTCTGCCCTTACATTAGATGAAGGTGTCCTGAATCAGACAGAAGAAACTGAAGACAGCCAACAGGGAGAGGTGAGGAATTTAAAAGGCCATCATTTAACTGTCTTTCTGAATATTGCGCAGGTAATTCTAAATACTGTTTTGTGTTTCAGACTTCAGAGGCTGCTCCAATGGAGGACAGTAATCCCCCGACGTCTCCCAGTGTCAACATTAAAGACGAGCCTATTGATGAGGGCTACGATGCTGCTTTACTGCCTCAGAGCTCCATCAGACAGATCAAAGAAGAGCTGGAGCATCAGGAGGTACGTATAAAGAGATGAAGTCAGTCATTAAACTGAGCTGTAAATGAGCTGTTCATACTGAACAGTACTCCAACCAGAAAATAACGAAATATCTAAACTGAAGCTGCTGACAGTATGGCATTTGATGACAGAAAATATGTTTATAACAGTACAGAAAGTAGACATGTTACATTTTAAATGGATAATTAATCTTTTTCTTTGAGATGATTTACAGAAATGTTGTTTTAAAGGGTGAGGAATGCCATTCAAACAAAATCTGATTTCTTCATGTTTGATCTTTTCAGGAAGAGCTGAGGATCAGCTCCGTCTACTCCGTGGGTGGAGGGAACACCTTCGCAGCCCCTACAAGTGAGTTTATTTGTTCAGTGCAACAACAGAACTCATTGTTTATAATAGTTGTATTCCAGGGATAAAGCACATTTTTACTTGCATGCTCTCCCTCTCCTCTGTTATATGAAATCAATAATGGATTCTGAATTGAACTTTGACACCAACAAACACAATGGAATCATGACATTTCCATCCCTAATTGCTGGTGATGTTGGTAATAATGCAAGCAATTCTATTAAATCGAAACTCCTGTTTCAGCAGTACATGGGAGAGTAAGGGTGTGTGTATTTGTCCTGAGCTGCTCAGTAAAGGACATTCAATTCGATATGAGGCTTCCTTAGTTTGATATGTCCTGTGATCCATACAATTACTGTCATAGCAGTCTATGTATTTTTACCGACTCCCTTTCCCAGAAGGGAAATTCTACATTCAGGACTCCACACGGAGCATTTTAGGAGCATACAGGACACAACCTCAATTTATTTCTTCCGATAGAGTCCATCTATTATCTAGGGAGTAGAAAAGGTGAATGGTAATGATTTCAGATATAAACTTAGTTGAGGCCTACTGACTTACTGTTCTATTCTATCTCCTCTTATCCATTCAAGTGCCTGCAGCAATCCCAGCCCCAACTCCAACGGCCATCTTCATTCCTGGTAGAGGAGCTGTCTTACAAGCTATGACTCCCCTCCCTCTCAGACCACCAGTTCCAGTCCCAACTTCAGTGTCAGCTCTGGCGCCCATACCTCCACGTCCACCACAGCCCCCCGTTCCTGGTAGTGTTCGCTGCAGCGGCTGCTCTAAGGTACCGTTGCAAGTTTATGCTGCTTACATTTGAAGAAGAAACGTTGCAAGACAAGACTGTGCCACACAAGGTACTTGTTTTTCAGGGAAAACTGTGATGAGGAAAGGTTAAATAGCTATATTTAATATTATTTAATGTAGCTCAGCTTACCATAGAGATGTTTGCTGTTTAATCCATTGATCAGCTATTCAAATAGCAGAAAGAATTGTGTTTCATGTAAGTATTCATGCAGTGATGTAGTGTCTTATGTGTTTTTTTTGTTTTGTTTTGTTTTTTTTAGTTCTTTGTGTCATATTTATATTTCATGTCTCTGTACTGTGCTCTAGGTTCTGCTGAAAGGCCAAACAGCATTCCAAAGAAAAGGGTCAACGCAGCTCTTCTGCTCCACAGTCTGTCTGACGGGCCATTTGCCTCCAGCCAACAAGAACCGATCCTGTTTCCAGTGCAACAGGTATGTCTTTGTTTCCACTTGACATCAGTAAGTAGTAACTGACTAACGTTTCAGCTTTCTACTGCGACACAGGTTGTATTTACTGGCCCTGTGCTGACAGTTGGCTTACAGAAGCTGCATTCGTTCACTACATGTAAATGTACATTGTCAAAATGCTGGCCAAAAATGTAACTACAAGTCAGTCAGGAGCTAAAGAAACATAAGAACCCACAGTGATACAGGTGTCACAAGTTCTTATAATATTCTTTAAAGCTCGTTGTACAGCTTTATCCTAACTTTAACTCATGACGTCCCCAAGTGACACATACTTAAACATCCTGGTGGGTCATGTCATTTTGTGTTCTCATGACAACGTTTCCAAGAGGTCTGTGTGCCAGGTGTGTGACAGAACTAGCTAAATTTAAAAAGCTTGTTTTTTGTTGCTAAAGGTAAGATTCAGGCCATTTAAGAATTTTAATAATTAGATAGCAAATCCTTTATTATATTTAACCTGTTGTGAACACATTTCTTGAACAAATCGATATAAAACAAATTTGATAAATATTGTTGTGACTTATATGTGACTTTGGGCCTTTAACCTTAAAACTGTCACAGAAAACCTAATGTGAAAAATATGTCACAATAAGAAAATAATTTTGATCTGCTTAGTTAATTTAGTTGATTGGGCAATATTTTGTTTATATATTTTGTTCAATTTCAACCATAGTAAGGCAAATGTAAACAAAAAAACATGTTATATTAATTAAATTATTAATAAAATGCATTAGGAAACCATTTTCGTCTATCATCATTTTATTTTTCTGTAGTATGGATATCAAGAAGTGATACAGTGTTTAAGATGTACTGCCAGTCATCCAGGGAGATGACAGTGATTTTGAGGGATGTGAAAGTAGCTCAGATGAAGACACTGAAGACCCTGATTACGCTCCCAGCAACAAAGACATGGAGAATGAAGAGTCAAGTGAGTCTGGTGATTCAGACTGTAGTGAATCAGGTGATTTAGATGAAGTGCCTCAACCAACGAGAAATCCTGAGCAGCAAAATGCAACTGCCCCCAAAAAAACAGCTTTCTTGAAATAGGAAACCATTTGAAGCCCCTGAGTGCACATTCAAAGGTCAGAGTGTCACACCCCCAGACAATCTTCATACTCCTCTGGAGTATTTTAGGGAGTTCATCTCAGCAGAAATGCTTGAGTTACTGAAAGAGCAAACAAATTTGTAGTGTACAAAAATCTGTACATCACAGCAGTGTCAACATCACTGTTAACGAGCTGGAAATATTGATTGGCCTCTATCTGCACATGGGTCTTTGCCAACTGCCTGGAAATTGTGCTTACTAGGAAAATGACACAAGGTGTGCCATAGTGGCTGACAACATGTCACACAACTGTTTGCAGACCCTGCTGGCATCTCTACACTTCACTGATGACACTGATTGGTCAAACAGGCAAGAAGAGGATAAGTGTTGGAAGATCTGTCCATGGCTTGAGATGTTTTGCAAACAATGCCTGGAGATCACCCCAGAGGAGCACTACTGTACTGATGAGTAAATTATGTTTTTAGAGGGACTCACAGCCCCATAAGGCAGCATGTCCGGGCCAGGCCCCACCCATGGGGATTGAAAATTTGGGGCCGCTGCACCTCTTTGATTTTGCGGTCTATGAAGGTGGCAATGGGAAAACAGCATCACTTGACGTGGGTGGTGACATTGTGCTGTGGGAAAATCTCCCATCAAACCAAAACAACAACATATCTGTGGACAACTTGTTTTCTTCAGCACCACTGGTGCTCAAGCTTCTTCAGCAACAGATCTACTTTGTAGGAACTCTCTGAAGCAATCGCCTGGCTGATTGTCAGCTTGAAGATGATGAAAATCATGCCAAGAGAGGCAGAGGATCTGTTGATGCCTGGATGCAGAAAGAGGAATGCATGGCCATTGTCAGGTGATGAAACAGATCAGTTACGCTGATCTCATCATAGAGTAAAGATGAACCTCAAAACAAAGTTCAATGCTGGAGCAAATCAGACAAAGCATTTGTGCAAGTCAACAGGCCTCACATTGTGAAGGAGTACCACATATTCATGGAGAGGTAGACCTAGATGCATGCGTCACAGGGAGAACCACATGAGGTCAAGGAGTTGGGACCTCTATCTGTTCTGGTGAACCGTAATGCTAGGCCTTGTTAAAGTATGGCTGATTTGCCACTTAAACAAGGGAGCTACCAGGCAGAGGTCGGTACTAGCCTTACTCTCCTGCATTCATAAAGGGGCCGCCCATCACTCAACCCCACACCTCCACCATCACATCCCAAGAGTGTTGGAGTTCCAGATGATGTCCATGTGGACCAGGTTGCACAACTGGCCTGTGAAATGTGACAAGTGGGGCCGTTGCAAATTCTGCAAATCAATGAAACCACCGCCCTCTGAGAGAAATGCGATGTGAGTCTTTGCTTCACTGAGGAAAGAAATCGTTTCAGATGTTTCCATTTGGTTTAGGCTAAACTGGCATACATGCTGATGATGATTCAAACTCGGTGCTGAAGATACAGAAGTTTGTATTTCTATGCTTCAGTCTGTTGCTCAGTTCTCTACAGCTACAGTAACTTGTTGAGAAGTCCAATATGAGGCAGTCTGTTTTTATTCAGTTCAATTTTTTTTTTAATTTTTGTGTTCTAAAACAATTTTTTTTAAAAAGAAGACAAAGATGTTAAACTTCAGAAATAAAATTAGAATTTTGTTGAAATGCAAATAAAAAGACTAATCTTTGTTCCTAACCAGAAAGAGACTGTCAAGCTGTTTTATTGTCACAAGGTATACAGTCGTCCTCAAATTTATTCATACCCTTCTGTTAAAGATGGAAAAAAACAGCTGTTACTGAAATCAGTTGAAATTGACAAAAAAATAATAAAAATCATGACATTGCTTTTGAATTGTGGTTCAACAGATTTATTTTTTTAAACCGCAAACAAGCATGATGGGACCCGTAAACTAATATTTTGTTGAACAACCCTTCAATCACTGCAATCAAGTGTTTTCTGTAACTCTCAATCAGACTTCTGTACCTGTTGACAGATATTTTGGCCCAATACATTTGAGGATGACTGTACATATACTATTAACACCCAGTGTGGCACATATGTAACACTGCAGCTCTTTGACACAAAGAAACACTGAAGCAAGTGTCACAAATGGGTTCTGGATGTTTGTCTGTTTAGTCTGTCTTATGTCCCCCATAATTTGAAATGGGTCTGGGTTCATACTTACAACAACATAATCATGGCATTTGGTTTGTATTTTTGTTGTATTAACTTGTACACGAACCTTGAATCCTCCTTATTTGGTCTATTTGCCACATAGCAATACTGTCTTAAAAAATAAGTATTTTCTTGTTGAGTTCCTATGCATTGTCCGGGTAATACACTTATTGGCATTGTTCCCTTTAACCAGCTTGAAAGCATGTGTGTGCCAGTTTTGGTTAAATATTTTACTAACTAAATGCCACTATTATTTCTAACCATATATGATATCTGCAAAGTAACTATACTGTTACAACCCCTGGTTAATACTTTTAAATTATTTTCATATTAGCAGAGACCCATTGTACTAAACTCAATCACTGTCAGTGATTGGAAATATGTAAACTACTTTTGATCGTAACAAATGCCCCTTTTTAGTTGCGACTTCACAGCTTTATGTATTTTTATTTTTGTGAAATCTTGTCCTAGACTTTCTCAGAAGTCACAGGTCACTACTTGTGATAGTATTTTCATTTTTTAAATTTTTCCTACAAGTAATAAGCGATGAGCTGTTTGCAAATGTCACTGCCAGTCACATTGTACTGAATTATGCCTTTATATGAGGAAACATACAAAAATCTGCAATGAGCTGTACAACTGTCAGGTAAATCATGCCTAAGAAAAAGACAAATGTTCTGCAGATCTGGATGAACTGAACTGAACACTTACAGTGTGCCCTACATTTGGCCTCATCAATCTTGTCGATGTTGCTTTTATTTTTATTTTTTGGAGTGTTGTATTTATTACCTGTGCTACTTTCTTTGCAGGGAGATCCTACAGCCCAGGGACATGATCACAATTCCAGCAGATGACAACACCTTAATGCACTTTTGTGGCCAGTTCTGTCTGTCTGTGTTTCGACACAAGAAGAAACAGGTTGACAAGGTTCCTGACAAACGACAGGAGAAAAAGCCTGAGAAGCCGCCCGAGAAACCAGTGGAGCGCCAGCCGGAAAAGCCCTTCTGTAGTGTCTGCAGAGTCACCAACAGGGTAAGAGGCTTGGAGCTTATGAAGTACAGACAGATTTTAGGTGAGCTTAAGTCAAAAGCCGTTGTCCTCGTGTTTGACTTTGATCATCTCCAACAGATTGAGCACGAGGTCAACCATCAAGGCCGCCTGCACAGACTCTGCAGCGATGCTTGTTTTGTTACCTGGCGAAAGATGCGTCAGTTAGCTATGAACTGCTGTGAAGGCTGTGGACTTTACTGTAATAGCAACTCAGGTTCCTGTCAGACGCTCACAATTGACAGATCTCAGCTCAACTTCTGTGGTCCTACCTGCATAGGCACCTACAAACAGGTATGAGTCGCTGGGAAAAAAAATCTTTTTTTTACTGTTTCATTGGTTTTGTTTTAAAATACAGAATGTTGTTCATTATGACCGGAGTGTGGATAATAAACAGTTAAACTATGCCTGTTTTCAAGCGGTAATTTAACATTTTAAATACATGGCCTAGAAATCATGTGCCCTCAGAAAATCCCACGCAGCATCTCATGTATAAAGCAAATGTACCAAACATAAACCTCTTCTAAATTCATTGTGTTTTTGTTCAGACCTGCAGAAAGACAGTCGAGTGTGCCAACTGTCACATAATCGCGATCGTGTCCACCACCATCATGGAACGAGACATGAAGGGCAAAGTTCAGCTTTACTGTTCCCCTACTTGTGTGGAACAGAGCCGGCCACCCCAACATATTCTCACTGGTAAGGCACACCACACAGACACACACTCGTACGTCAGGGTTTGCTTAGACACACACTTAAAACTGCAGTCGGCACAAATCTGTGGCAACAAAAAACGAATTAAAAAAATCAAAACACTAGACTTTAAAAATATGCAGTCCTCCTTTGGCAGTTCTTCCTTTAACCGTCTCTGTTGTAAGCTCTTTCCACCAGATGAGCATGCGGTTCAAATGCGCAAGTCAAACTAAAAGTCAACAGTATTTTGTGGCTTCACCTGTTATTCAAACCCAGATCCCCCAAGTGAGAGTCCTCCATCTAACCCATTGTGCCACCACATCCTGCTCTCATGACAGACTTTGTTGCTGCTGATACTATTCCCCCTACTCTGGTTGAAACATCCTGTGATTAGCTAACAGCTCCCATCACAGGAGAACATTTTGTAAAGGAATGGAGCCAGAAGGAGGTGCAAAAGTGTAGTTTCCCCATAGAACATTTGAATTACAATATGCCAAAAGGTTAGTGGAATACTTTTTTCCAATCATGCCAAAACACACTGCCCAGCACAGCTTTAAATACAGAACCAGGAGAAATCTGTCACGATGGTCTATCACAGCTTCAACTGGTAGATGTAAAAATACTTTTATGTGAATGCATGCCCATGTAATAACATTTGAGTGTTTTTAATGCCACTGTTTCCCTGCAGGTACTCCATTCCCATGCTCCCTGTGTAAAGTTTCAGCCGTTCCCCAGTATCATCTGGCCATGGTGGACGGGACAATACGTAACTTCTGCTCCTATACCTGTGTGTCTATATACAGGGTAAAGCCTCAAGAGCATAGAACTTTTTTTTTTTTTTCATCTATCTAACAAAGTTGTTGATGGAGTCTCTGCTTGTCTAAGCCTTATGTTCTTTTAGATTTGACTGTTCTGTTATTTTCACTTTGTCTCGCAGAAGTCTGGTCACACCTCTCCACCAGACCTGACCAATGGAACCTCCTCTCTCAGGGACGCCTCCATCAGAGACGCACCCAGAGCGGGGCCCTCTGCCGGAGCCAGCTCAGTCCCACCCATCCCTCAGGACTACCCATCTTCAGTCCCCTACCCAGGCCATCATCCCAGTCATACGTCAGTGCCACCTCTCGTGACTCCCTACCAAGCCATGTCCTCCCCTTCTGTCCCTGGACAAGCCCAGGCCAAACCACCCCCTGGTCAGCCCCAGAAACCAGCTGACTGCGAGCTCGGTGACATCTCCAAACTGACCTGCCATCAGTGCAGCAAACAGTTCAACAGCAAGCCACTGCTATTCAGTCACCAAGTAAGAGACACAGGTCACCGGCTCATTTAGACACCCAACTTTGCTACCTGTGTGACTAGTGCAACATTATTCATTTAACCATTATGTCCCTACTAATAATAATTTTTGCCTGCAGGGTCGTATTTCTGTGTTCTGCAGTAAGACGTGCTGTGAACAGTATAAAACCCAGAAAAACATCCTTGCGCTGTGCGAGTACTGTAAACAGCCAAAGGTACTCTTTGAAACCATCAACTACAACCAGCAGGACGTGATCTTCTGCAGTGAAAGTGAGTCTGCTTTTCACTTCTTCTTCTACACAGTATTTCTATCGTGCAGAGCAGAATGTCGGTGGACTTTATTGGCTTTTCCTCTATCCATTTCTTTTCGAAAAGAATTCAGTCTATCAGTTACTCTTTTGTTGTCCCAAAGTTGCTTGGTTTTTGCACTCCAGACCAGAAACAGATATCAACTTGTCCCAGATCTGTCTAATGAGCAGTCATCTAAGTAAAATAGGCCTCACAAAAAACATTTTCATATTTTGGTTCCCTAAGCTATCCTCATTTTTCTAGTAAGATTGGCTGTTAAGAATTAAAGTTAAGTTCACTAAACTCCTGTCTGTACAAAATTGAATGGTTTGACATTAAGTTAGCTGCCAAAAAACATGTCATGCCACCAGTAACTAATTACAGAGGTGACAAGTGTTGCAGTCATGGAGATATTGACAATATTGTAGCCTTCTGTAGGTGGTGGTGCGTTATCTGGCATGAATATAACACTGAACATAATCCCTCTGTAGGGGCTGTTGAAATATGCCAATAATAGTTGTAAAATGTAGAAAACTCATGAAATTGCCAAGTCATGGTAACATTAATATGGTGAACAGAGTGTTCATTTTGCATTAAGTTTGCTTGAATATTTTAGTTCAGGACAATTTTCTAACATATTGAAACTCCAAGTTCATTCAGCTTTATAATACTATAATTTAAATCCAATCAGCATTTCCCCTTGTGAGGAATGATACGTAGACTGCATGATTCACATGTATGGAGTCCCATCAAACCGAACAGAGCTGTAAAAGAATAAGAAAATATATGCTGTTCTTTTTTTTCTTTTTTTCTTTTGTTTTTAAAGCACAAGCAGTAGGAAACAAAATAAAGGCATAAAAAACACATGACTTTACAGAATAGTTAAGACAAACAATAATTGAAATATACAGAAAAAGAACTGCAGCTCTCGTCCTCCGTAACTTTACATTTATAACTGTCATAGTTCTTTATTCCAAAGACAATCAGTGAAATGTATGTTTGCTGAACTACTGAATAAACAATCCTCTGTCCATCATGTCTTCCAGACTGTAAGGCCCTCTTCAAACAAGACCTGACGTTTCGTAACAAGGATCATCCCTGGCATCCCTGCACTTACTGCTCAGGCATCAGCCAGAAGATGTTGCACAGCCACTATGGAGGCAAGATGGAGGAGTTCTGTAAACCTCACTGCATGTCCCAGTACACTGTACTATACTATGGGGTAAGAGTATGGTTGTCATTGCACTATATGTCATATTACTTTAAGTCAAATGGAGCATCCTACTGTAGGTTCAATGTGGTTTTGTCTTTCATTTATGTGGTCTGTTCTTTCCTCATTCTTATTCTCTCTTGTGCAGATGGGTCGATGCGACAGTTGTAGGAAACAGGGCTACATGAGTGAGAAGCTGCAGTGTTTGGGTTCTGTCCGTAACTTCTGCAACCTGCCCTGCCTGCTGCAGTACTGCTACCTTCATTTTGAGACAAACCAACACAGCAGCAGTAATGGTACTGGAACGGCCCCACAAACACCATATGGTAAATTGTTTGATACAGTGTGATGATGAGTAGTGGAGTCTACATGCCAGCAAGCTCGTGCTCATGTTCAAATCTCATCAAAAATGTTTCCTCAGCCAACAGACACATAGGTGTTGCTACAACATGTTTTTGTTGTTTTTTGGGTTTCACAATAACAAGACATGGCCTTGACTAAAAACTAAAGAAAATCAGGCCCATGCTGAAAATCTCATTATTTTTTAAGTCTTGTTTGGGTTGGGAGAAAGTAATACCCTCATCTTGGGTTTAAACCCTTGTTTCCCCTCTTCTTACAGCTCCAACCCAGCCACACCACTCCTCTAAGATGAATCCTGTCATAGCCGATGTCGTCTCATTGGCCAATGGCTCTGCCACTCAGCCCAGTGGGTCAGCAGATACTGCTCTGACTGGTTAGTTTATACACATAGACAAGAGTGGTTGTTTTCAAAGGCCGTCCTTCGACTAACATTGTCAGGAAGAAAGGTCAACTTAGTCTGGCTCTGTAAAGGTTATCCAGCTTACCTGGATCCTGCATTGTTGATATCATGAAGCTATGTATCAGAACCATGACTTAAATGGTGATGACTGTGAGGACATTTAGACATAAGAATAGAATAAGAGGCTGTACAAACACGAGGTACAGTATTTGAATATTAAAGAGTCTGTGTGAATTATTAAACAACTGTCTTCAGATGTGCTTGCTGTTTTCTACATGTTAAGTAATCTAGATCACAGTTATTGGAGGGGAAAAGACTCTAGAAACAAAAGCAATGCCAGACGAGGTCTCTCTGGCTGAAATGTTTCTACGTTTTATCAGAGTATGGATATTTTCTTCTAACAAAAAGTGAAATGGTATATATTTTTATTTCTAATTATTATCCCATTGAGCTTAAAAAATTTAATATTGACCATGTTATTCTGCTGCCTCTAGTATCAGATAAATATGTTTTTTATTTTATACTTTAATCAACTGATAAAGCTATCAGCACTTGTTTATGTTTATATACATCTCTTACAGTATTGTGCACTGTGTGTTTTTTTCTCTCTCTCTTTTGTAGGAGCTCTTCCAACCTCCAATGTAGATGGCAAGCACCTCGACCATGTACGTACTGTGTGTTTTTGCTTCTGGTCAAAGCTTATGTACACCCTTGAGTCATGATCAAAGATTTTTAAAAGAGACTGTTTCTTTATTCTAGAGCCCTACTGACATATCTTTACATGATTTACAGTTTAAAAAAAAAAAAACAGACAGTAGTAGTTCAAAAGCCCTTCTTTCTTTACTCAAATGTGAACCTCTAAAATACATCTGCACTTGTTTTGAGCCTGAAGGGAACAGGCGAGTAGCCGACGCCAACAACCCACTGAACAACCTTGGCAACAGACAGCTGTTTGTTGGCACGCATAATCAGATTTCAGTTTGATGGGGAAGCAGAGGTATCAGTGCAAACAAAGCATGCAGAGTGTGGCTGTATTTAAAGAGGAGGATGTGGTTCCATCACTCAGCCTTGCTGCCTGTTTCTCCCAGTGGCTTCTTGTAGTATTGGAATGAAAAAATGTCCTGCTGTCTAAAAAGCATTTTCCTTATGGTACAACAAGAGACTTCTGTAAAACTGTTGACAGGACACCTCCAACAGCCAACAATGACAATTATAGGCTGTTGTCATGTCATGAGCAGTGTTTATTCAAGTGAGTGGGCTCCATCTTTCATGTAATATCCACTTCTGCCAAACACCCATAGACATTACAGAAACTCACAAAGAGCTTCATGTTGATAAAATAGTGTCATCATCTGTACCCAGTGTTAAGTATTTGATGTGTGATGCAGTCAAAAACGAGTAACTTACTGAATGTATTTATGATCAAGAAAAAGATCTTCCTTGTGTGTCATTGCTGTTTCATATTTAATGTCCGTGCAGGCCAGTACTCAGACTGATGCCATGCGTGTTCCTGCATCCCGTCGGCGTCAAATGAAAAACAAGTCAGTTCTGTGCCGACCCTTCACCATGGACCAAGAAATCACATGCCAGATGCCCACACCTTCTACTGAATCAGGAGGTAACTACAAACATCACCTCAAACAGTTTGGGTAGTTTAACTTTGTGACACAGCAGGACTTGGAAATATAAATTTCAGCTGTTAAAACTCGTCCGGCAGCTTCCGGACAGTAAAATGCAGAACAAAATGTAGCAATACCAGTTGAACACAAGCATACTTGCAGACATTTGAAAGATGTTTAAAGTTTTAGTATTTTAAATCTGTTTTTATAGAAATTAAGTTTTCTGCTTTTTCTGCCATGGTAATGGAGGTTTAGGTTTCACAAGCTGTTGCTGTGTTTTGATATTTTCCTCTGACACAAATCAAATGATTTACATACATATAATATATAATATAATGAAAAAGTTTTAATTAAAGAACAAGCAACTTAAACAATATTGCACTTGCTTGATAGTTACTGTTTTGTGTCCACACTTGTAGAGCAGTCATATACGGGGCTGATATTGATCTGTTGAGTATAAAATATCATTTTCTATGCTGGGACATAACTACATTTTGTACCAATGTTATTGTTAACATTATAATGTTCCCTGCTCAATTTATGTACTTTCTGTCAGTGTGGAATAATTGGTATGGGCTACACATCAGTCAGTGCTGCTCCTCTCACCGAGCACTGACCAGAACAATATATTGCCTAGTTTTAGTGACTTTGCTCCTGCCAGCCATGGCTGCTGTTTCCTTTGTTTCATTTATGGATTATGGGTTTATTTATTTATGGGTTCATCTTTTTCATTCGTTGCTCACAATTAGCTGTTCTAACAATTGCACCAGCTCTGCTAGATAGCTCCTCGCAGCCCGACCAACCATCTGCTCAAGCATCCACATCTCCAGCACCATCACCAAAACCTCAGGGAGAAATACAGCCATGTAATGGCGTACCAGCACGACTAACCGGCCGCCATTTCCTGGGCAAGAGGGAGACCGACTCGGACTGCAAGGTCTGCTCACAGCACAAGAGGAAGAGGGTGGACGAAGAAGAGCAAGAGAGAAAGAAGCAGAAGTTGGAGGAGGATGAGGAGCCCAAGAAGGAAGTAGAAAAGAAGGAAGAGGAGGAGAAAGGAGGAACCTCTGTGGATGAGAAGAATGAGGAGAAAAAGGAGGACGAACACTCTGAAACGATGGATTGTGAACACAAGGGTGGGACAACAAGGAAGCAAACATCGTATTACTGTAAAACATGTTCAGGAGAGCCCTCTCTCTGTCCTGTGCCCTGTTTTGAACTCTACCACACCCAACTGATCTACAAAGCAGTTCCTGAACTGGAAACCCAAGGTGAGCCTCCTAAATAACACAAATGATACAAGTCATTTTTGATTTAAACATGCAATAAATAAAGTTTGTGTAAGTGTTTTGATGACCAAAATAACAACAAAATAAAAAAAACTATCATTTTCCAACTGACTTCTTAAGAGGGTTGAGTATGTCACCCGAGTTTTTCTCTCCACAGCCTCCTGATCCGCTGACTTGAGAAGTTATCCTCTACCCTGACCATGGAGACATAAAAACAGCTACAGGGTTGAATGGTTGTGTTCACGCCCACAATACCTAATATGTATTTTTTGCTGTCTGTTTACGTTGAACCCAAAACCTTATTGAAAGCAAGGGCAGAATAGTTTTCTCTAGTTTCATGAATTTGTTTTGCAGTGCAGAGAATTTATGCACTTTAAAGGGGCGTTTCTGTATTTTTATAAGAAACTGAAGATCTGCAGTATTTATGGTCCTTTCTGCGGGAACAGATTTGCATGGCTCTGTCTCTTTTTTTCATTAAGAGTATTTTGTTTGTGAAGGGGGTGTTGCAAGTGAGCTAAAAAAAAAAAAAAACGACAAGGTTGAAATCCTGCCTTTCAAGTACTTCACTGACCTACAGACTGTACTGTAACGTGCTAGAAAAAAAAATACATTTTACCTCATTAATAAATATGTGTCAAAATACATAAACCTGTCATTAAAGCTCATCCCAATCACGATACCTTCTCAAGTGTCTTAAACTTCATGATCATTCACTTTTTTTGTGTATGTTGTGGAAATGAACTCTGCTGCCATGTTAGTGCTAGGTAGTTCCCATCCTTGAATGTTTTTTTTACTGCCCTCACGTCCTGCTATGTTCACTCACTTCATACTACAGGCTGAAAAATTGTTACTTTTCTCCAGCTGCTGATGAAATAGATCCCACATTGTTAAGGCCTACTTCACAACATATTTCACACTCATATTTTGCTTACATTTTTAAACAGACACTTAAGTATTCAGTATTAAGTTAGTTCTTTTTTTGAATTGGTATTCCTCACAAAGCGAGGCTCCTTTGTGCAGGATTCTCTCTCCACTCCAGATACGATGTTGTTATGATACAATGGTAGCGTTTGTTATACCATTCATTATAATCCAGCAGGATTTGAAGTGATAAATGAGTTATAAATGCTTGACTGTAATACAGATAACATGATGGAACATTTCTATAGTTGGTGGGCATAGAAATTAAGAAGGGTCCAGTTCTTGCTGAAGATTTCCCCTAAAAGAGGAGTCGTAATAAACAGATGCTATGTGGAGGTTGTTTGGTTTATGTTGAACCTTCGTAACTTGTTGACTAGTTGACTGAACTAGCAGATGGAAGTGTCTCATTCATAACTGTTTGTTAAAATGGAAATTCCCAGCCAGAGACTCGTGGCCTGGTAGCTCAACTTTAATTTGACATTCACCCATGACACTAAAACCTGCTGCCACTTGAATTTCTTATCTGTGTGAGTCAAGCGAACAACATTCATTTGGATGTTCAGCTAACTTATTTGTATTGTTACACTTTGTTATATATGAATGTCATTTCTAAAAGTTTATGGTTTAAGTCCTTGCTGTACCTCACCACCGATGCAGTCATGTTAACCAAGGTTGATTTCAGTTCATCCTCTGAACTCGGGTTGAACATGAGTTGATTCCAGCTCTGAATTGCATCTCTGAAGTTTACTTTTCTACTTATTTAACTGCCCATTGTATGTCGTAGTTTTGTTTTGTTTTTGTTTTTCTTTTTTTTTATACTGATTTACAATGTGTGCATGTTTCATTTTTCTCTTTCTATTTCTCTGTTGTGGAAATATATTGTCATCATCTGAAAAAGACTTTTGTTCAATGCAAAAAAAGTCAATAAATTTAATTTGAGAAAGAAAAATGTTTGTGCTGATTTATGTCTCGCATATTATGTATCCTATGTCACATACAAATGGCCTGCGTTGAGGAATGAGTGAAACACCATGTGCAATGAACATCCGCAGTCTACTTACGAGCTCAGCCAAATCAGTCTTTTAACTTCTCTGCTCCACAAAAGACTGCTGTCAACGTAAAAGTTGTCTTTATAGAAAGGAACTGGGCTGAAAGTGCATTTTATTTACAGCCATTCATGACAGCAGAGAAATGTAGGACAAATGATGGAGATAACAAAGCTCTCTGAAGCATATAATATACTAAGAATAATGGCTACACCTACTGGCCAGAGCATGCTATTGCATTTGTATTGATGGCTTAAATCTGTTTCCCTAATACATAAATGGTGCACACAAAAGACTGCCTTTAAGGCAAAGATTCTGTATATATATACAAGACAATTGCTGTTACGTTATAGAAAGTTCTAAGTACAAATTAACACCAGAAGTCGGCCTACATGTGGTCCACAGATATTAAAAGGTGCCATTTGAAGTATTTTGACTTCATTCACTCACAGTGAGATAAACAGAAAGATCCATCCACAAATAAAATGCCTATCAGACATGTTTAATTATCTTGTTATGATGATTAAAAGCTGTTTTTTTCCCCCACCAAAATGGTGTTTTTATCAATTAGGTGAGGTTTTTTTTTCCTTTTAACTAACTGTACTGTCACTTTCTGTTGATTTTAATCAGTGAGCTCTTCATGTGTCTCATCTGTACCTTGTCATTCTGTATTTATTATTTATCTCCATCCTTCATCCTCAGCAGGAGAGGAGAAAGTGAAGGTGCGCTTGGTTACAATCCCAGTACCGGTCTTCATTCCAGTGCCTATGAACATGTACTCCCAGCACACGCCAGTTCCAGTGGCCATGCCCATCCCTGTACGTCCCGTTACATTCACATTGTATTACATTTGAATGATTGATTCTTTTGAGCGTCTGCCGCTGTAACTTCTTCTGTCTTCTTTTATCCAGTTTCCTGTACCCATTGTAGTGCTGCCACAGAGCAAGGAGATGAAAGATGCAGCTGTCCAATCAGAGACTTTTGCTGTGACAGATGAAAAACAGAGAGATGAGTGTGTTCCTAGTGCAGGTGAGGGCTTAGAAATGTTCAAATTTTTATACATTCAAGATGTCTGTTTAAATGTATTTATGTTCCTCTGGGTTTAATCCTAAACAATGTTTCTGCTACAGACCTGAGGAGTTCTCATAGTGGACACGTTATGTCTGAATCAGTTGCTCCCACAATCTGTGACGATGAGACAGAAAAAGCCATACAAGCTGACGTCCCCTCTTACTGCTCAGCTGATCTCCAGATTACTACCCAGCCAGAGACGAGCAAAACGATAAGTGACCCTCCTACCGCCAGCACCGTAGATCAACCTCCCTCCTCCCCAATGATGGACTTGGAAAGTGACTTCCCGTCTGGTGAGATATCATATCATTAAAGAGATCTTATCTCAGGCCTTATGTGTGTGATTGTTTAGAATTACTCAGTATGATCAGTTAGCTAGAGGTGAAAGAAGTATTCAGATCCTTTACTGAAGTAAAAGTCTTGTGTGAAAAATCCTACTGAAGAAAAAGTATGTGAGTAACAAAAAGTACTAAATTGCTGGTTTGGTAGAGTATGAATCTACATGTGTCCAAGTACTGTACTTACATACAATTTCTGGCATTTCCATTCCTCGTCTTCTTCGCCAATATAATAAGAAGGAATATATTGTACTTTTGACTCCACTACATTTGTTCGATTACTTGAGTCACTTTACATATTCAGATGAATTACACAAGATGTGCTCAATAAAAAATTAGGATATATCATAGAAGTTAAAGCTGTATTCTTCTGTAGAGGGAATTTACAAACTACCCAGCAATAAGTAAAGTAAGTAAAATCATCTTCACCCTCATAAGATGCAACATTAAAGTCAGAGGTGAAGGAAGTATTTAGATCCTTTTCTTAATTAAAACTACTAATACGATGTGAAAATACTCCATTACAAGTAAAAGATTTTCCTGAAAACATCTACTTAAGTAAAAAATACATAAGTATTGGTACCAAACATAGTTAAAGTATTAAAATAAAGACATCATTAGATTATTAAACAGTGACGCATCAGTGTATCAGCTGCTGTTGTAGCTGCTGCAGGTAGAGCTACTTTTAACTACTTTATGTACAGTTTTATATACAACTGATAAATCTTAGGGCTGGTCAAACATTTAATGGGAAAGGAAGAAAGCAAAAAAAGGGGTTTTATGTTTTTGGGCTTTACCTGTGATTTTTCGAGAGACATTGAATCATTCAAACATTGATTGAAATGAAACTATGTGAGGAAATTAGAGGTAAAAACCGTTACGTTGTGCAGCTGCTAACAACTAACAGACATCTGCCACAAGACCCCGACTACACACAAGGAGTCAAAGAGGTTGGAAACCACTGGTGTAATCTTTAACTCTGTGTTTTATAAAAAGCTTTGTTTTATAATCCGTTATGTTATGAAATGTACTCAAGTGAAAGTGTAAGGTAGCAATTCTCAAGTAAAGTACTTCAAAATTGTATTTAACGTACTTAGTTACTTTCCACAACTGCAGTTAGCGAATGAGGAACCCTGAAAATAAGTAGAAGTACTTAGCAGCTCACACAAACACACTCAGTTACAGGTTTCATGTGTTTTACAGAATCGCTGGGTCAGAAGTCGCCTGCTCGAAAGCGAGGAGTGAAAAGATCCAGAGATGGTTCCTCCAGCCGCAAGCGGGTAAAACATCAGTGACAGATTAGAATTCTTTGACTCAACTCAGATTCCTTTTATCAGCCTCCTGCTTTAAAATGATTCACTTTACTGCCTTTAATTTAGCTTCTCTTATCAGCTGCTCTTTGATTTTCAGCTGACCATAAGCACTATGACTCCTAACAGAGGAAGTTACTGTTGCAGAAACCTCACGCCATTTAAATGTTAAGGCATTTTGGAATGTCTGGCGTATTTATACAAATCCACTCAAGTTTGGCCATGTGGTGCATTTTCTGTCAGCCTTTCAGCCACATCAACCTTTTTGTGCACTACCACAGTGTTCTTTGTCTGTCCAACCAGAGTCGTAGACGAACTGGCTCAGCGGAACAGGGTGCAGTGGTGAATGCAGCTGCCTCCAAACTGAACCACCTGTACGGAGTTAAAGCCTGGAGGTTCTGGGTCCAACAACGCAACCAGCACCCACAAGAACGTGAGGTTTCTTTACAGTTGTCATGAAATGTTCTGCTGTTATTCTTCTGTGAGCAGTTTTATTAATATTTTACATTCTTTCCCCTCACAGCCAGTACAGTGGATGTTAAAGAAGACATCCTTGAGTGCAACTCTGCTGAGCTGAACTTTGCTCTGTCTCGCTTTGTCAAAGAAGTGCGACGGCCAAACGGAGAGGCCTACAGCCCTGATAGCATCTTCTACCTGTGTCTGGGGATACAACAGGTGCACAAAATCATTGTGTCACTGGTTTCCATCTTGCTTCTTTTCGTGTGCTTCTCTTTTTACTCTCGTATTGACTCCGTCTTTCCCGTGTCTCTCTGTTTGCACAGTATTTGTTCATCAAGGGCCGAATAGAGAACATCTTTACTGACAAGCTGTACTGTCAGTTTGCCACCGAGATCACTGAGATGCTTCGACTCTGGAAACCTAAGCTACTACCAAGTGGTACAGTCGTTGACTACAAGTTATAATTCTTCACATCTTTGTGAATTCATACCCCATATTTGGTATATTTCCATAAATAATGACCTCTCTGTATCTATGTTTTTTCTAGTAGTACTGGAGTTCACCATTCCTGTGCTAGATTCAGATTACCTGCAATTTCAAAGCTGCACAAATCAACATTTTTCACATAAACAAGAGGTCAAAAGGGTTCCAAAGTCAAGTGTCAAACCAGAGTGTTCTTGCATCTTTTTGGCTCTTGTTTTGTTTCTTAAGCAGCTTCACTGTTTAGATACTCTCATCAGCACCACAGCAGCTTAAAAGCTCCAGCAAACCCACTGAGCGCTACCTGCTCAGCTCCAACCAGAAGTCACACATACACAGAGGAGTATTTAGCAGCTAACAAAGCCAGATATTTTCCTTCCTCCAGGTCATGCGGTTTCCTCCCGTGTCGAGGAGTCCTACCTGTGGGAGTGTAAGCAGCTGGGCGCGTACTCTCCTATAGTTTTGCTCAACACGCTGCTCTTCTTCTGCACCAAAAACTTCCGCTTCACCACCCTGGAGCAGCACCAGTTCCTGTCATTTTCAAATTTAATTCGACACACCAAATCCAGCAGTCGAACCAGCAAAGTTCTCTACCTCCAGTTCCAGAGAAGCAGCACTGCTACACCCAACCAGGAAGAGACAGGTTGGTGTCACAGAATGATACATGAATGTGCTTTTAAATGAAGGCAGTAATATTAAATTCATTTATCACTGTTGCGGTGTGTGTAAGTCTGTAGTGACTGACTGGGTTTTGGTGTTTCTGTTGTTTCTAGAGCAAGTCAGAAAAAGGCAGGCGGAGAACGAGGGAGACCTGGAGATGATAGAAAACGTCACCAACCCTCTGCAATGTCCTGTCCGACTCTATGAGTTCTACCTCTCTAGATGGTGAGACTGCACACACTGACACAGAGTACATTTACAGACGAGCCAGCATCGGTGCTGCTATTCAGAAAGCTGAACATCTGCTTTGTCCTCTTTCTCTCCAACAGCCCAGAGTCTGTGAAGAAAACGGCCAATTTTTTTTACCTCCAACCTGAACAGAATGTCAACACACACAGGTCAGAGCCACCGCGTGTCACTTACTAGCAGAGTTTTGCTTTAAAACCTTTAATAAGTTTGAGGTCATATGTCAAAAGTGTTCATCTGTAAATGTCAAACATAGAAAACGGTATTAGTAGTTGGTGGTTGTTGATTTAGCTCTGGGTAAGAAAGGTTTAAGCTGATATTTGATATTTATAGCTGGCATTTGATTTTTTCAGTTTTAAAAACTTTTTATCATTAGTTATCTTTTATTCTAGTATTTGTTTTTTCTTGTGTTTTATCTGTATTGCTCTAATAACAATGTTAGTTAGAGATACATTTCCACCTTTGGTTTACAAATCAGACAGTAAAGTTAATCTATCTATTTGTAAAACCTGTAAGACTCTTTTAATGTAAAATGGATAAAAAATACAATTTTTTTTTAAACATTTCCGTTACTCTTCTCAACAGTTCCCACTGGTTCACTTCTCAACCATTGGACAGCACCACTCTACAGAGCATGCTCACTCGCATCTTGGCTGTCAGAGAGGTTCAGCAGCAGGGAGCAGCCCAGCCACAGTCTTCAGCCGCCCCCGAGGCTGACGGCTTACAGTGATGCTGATTTTACAGTGAATTAAAACTGTACGTACCCTCATTAGTCATTTTAGACTGAGGCTGACATTTCTTTGAAACAGAACAAACAGAAACACAAAGAACAGAGACTTTGTCACGGAGAGACAACCCTACAGAGGTCATTGTGTCGCGTTACCTCAGTCACCATCCTCTCCTCACAGAAATGCACAATGAGTTTATGAACATCTGATATTGTTAGACTGGGAAAAGGGAATGTAAAAGAGCACATTGTGAACCCAGTTTTGTTTATTTACTCGCAGTAACGGTCAATGTCAAGCCTGTCAGATGAGCTTTTCATTTCAGACACACACTCCCACCATGCTAGACTGGCATCAGCAGCAAACTACAGAGCAGTTACACCCTTCTGACTGTCATATCTGTTCATAAAGGAGTCCAAATGTATCGTTTTGTTACAGTCGCCCCCTTTTTGCTTCAGCACTTTTAGCGGAGAGTATCGGCTTGTCAGAATTTTAAAAGCTGATTTGAGTACTTCAGGGTTGAAGCTGCTTTCAGGACATATCTTGTTCACCAAAACCTAAGAGAATGACATTTTGAGTGAATGTGATTCAGCATTTATGTGTTGTGTTCACACATATCTGCAGAAAAGTTGGTTAAAAAGTCACTCAGTTCGAGTAGAAAATGTAGTTTTGAGAAGTGATATTACACTAAGACTGCATCATACTCATAATACATAGTGTATGTGGGCAACACTGACTGGGTGACATTTGATTAAAAGCCAACTTTAATATGTATCAGTATGACCCTTCTTGTAATGAAAGAGAAAACTCACAGTGCCTCTCATCTGTTGTTTTACTTTAATCTAGTTTTCAAGATGTTATGTTGTTCCCATTTTATATTGCTGATCCCGTGTGGCCTTTTTTCTTTGACCTTCCCTTTTCCCTCCCTCTTGTCCATCACGTTTTGACCTCTCACTAAAAGCGAAAGAGTCGCTCACTACCAGCATATAATCTGCTCAACTCTAAACCCCGTGGCTGTGTTCCTTCGCAGACCACCTTTACTGATTTTAGAATATTTGGAAAAACAAGGTTACTGTTTTTATTACAGTTACATGTGACCTCTGCTCCCCGTATGCTTTCAGTGTATATACTCCAATATCTCTAAACCTGTTTCTCCTATTTCTAACAGTGCCATTATCCTCTCTTTTGAAACATTATCCCAACTTTTTATTTGTTTTCTTCTACTTGGTTTGGAGATAAAAATGGACTTTAGAGAATGAGCAGCAGACGATTCAGAAGTACAAGACAAATACTTGTACTAACCCTTGAGGTTTCCTGTATTGTACCTCATGCCGTGTATATCTCATGGTTCATTCCTGTTTTCTGTAATGATTCTCAACTGCTTTTTGAATCCTGGGGACTCAAAACATCCGGCTGCTGTGACAAACCATCAAAACCGGAAGCCTAACTGTGACACATTGCTCGACAAGGAAAGGCTACGCTTTACCCAAATACGTGTACACATGCTGAACATAAATGCCTTTAAAGCATAATACGCTGGTTATTGTCATTCTGGATTGTATTCTGTATTTTTTGAGAACAGGAGCAGGGATTCTGCTGGACAAACAGAAGCATTACTAAAACTCTGGGCCATAGGGTATGTTTGTGTGGACATTTGGTGAAAACAGGACATTTGTTCTTTGTTTTTATGGAAGACAGGAAGTGGGTTCTTTTTTTACTGCCTTTGCTGTTGTTTTCATCTGTTTTGCTGTTTGAGCTGTTCATGTTTTGACACAGAGGCTGAAGTGTCTTTACTTTTGCCTCATGTTCATGTTTTTATGTGAAATGTAAGTTACAGTGTAAAGGCGTTCCAAACACCACAGATCAGACCAGCCCCCGCTGCCCCATGGTCACGGTTAAAGAAGTCATTGTTGACTGATGTTAAAGCCAGAGTTCACGTTGGTGATGTTCTTTAAACAACATGCTGTCACATAGCACCGCTGGTGGACATGAAGATCTTACTGCCTCAATATTATCGCTGCTGTTTGAAACTCCAATTTGATGGTTGTTCAGTAAGAAAAGGCCCAAAGACAGAGTGATGTTTTATGTCATTCACAAAATGCTGTATCACCATTAAGTATTAAGTCTTATTTTCTTTGGTTTTATGACAAAGGATTTATAACGAAAAGCATGATGGAAATGGAACGTGATGCTGAGAGTGTAATTGCAGTTTGTGCAGTTTTGAAACATCGATTCATAAAAAAAATACATAAAATGTTTTTAAAAATCTGTGTGTTTAAGATCATTTTGTGTGTGGGATTCTCTCATCCTCTTTACGCACTGAGACTGGTTTTGATGTTAATTTGAAGTAGTCTGTCTATTCCTGATGTTACACTAATGCTTGATAAGTGAATGCGTCAGTTATGGAGAAATGATGAGACAAACAGAAAATCAGGCCATTGTTGTTTGATTTTCTTTATATGTTCAGTACTAACATGTCGCTGGTGGCTTGCTAGTGACTTCTAATACATACACAACACTACTGCTAATACATGTATATGTTGTCCATCCATTATCTATACACCACTTAATCCTCACTAGGGTCGTGGGGGGGGTGGGAGCATTGGAAAAGTGTGTGTAGCTTCTTGTGTCCTCAGTGGGACTGTCCCAGCCTTTACATTCTGACTGGAGGAGCTCCAAAGACTTCAGGAACTTTCATTATCACAAGTCTCCACTGTGTGGAGCTGCTTCTGAGGACAGCTGATGCTATGAGATCATTGCTGTTTGTTCAGGGAGTTTACTGTCTGAATCACTTTCACGCTAAATTAACCCAATACTGTACACAGTTCATGTAATCCTATCCTTTGCTAAACAGCACTGATTGTGATCCCATGTAGTCACCACAGGATAGAAGGCAAGTCACGATGACAGTGAATAAACTCAGTAATGGGAGATGAAGTTTGCCAACATGAGCCACCAGAAGCCACTGGTCACACCAGAACAAATAAGACTAGCAGTGAAACCACTGGGTGTTGTCAACTGGACAGCAATATTAGAGATCCAACTGCTGCTGAGGCTGAATAACATCGCTTTAAAAATAAAGCACTAGTCAGAGGTGAAAGAAGTATTCAGATCCTTAAATTAATTTAAAGTGCCACTTCAGCAACAAAATAATACATTACAAGTAAAGATCCTGCATGAAAACCCAACTTAAGTAAAGGTACATAAGAATCAGCAACAAAATGTACTTAAAGTATTAAAGCAAAAGTCCTCGTTTGGTCCCTCTGATTGATAAATTATTATATATGATATGATTAACTTGTTAATAGTGAAGCATCAGAGTGTCAGCAGCATGCTACTGCTGTTGTAACATGTAAAAAAAAGTACATAGGAGCACAAAATAGAAATACTCAAGTAAACAATTATAAAAGCACAAGTTGTTGGAAATTTATTTACATTTTTAAAAGCATTGGTGTCAATGAGGGCGGCATGATTGAGCACTGTCACCTCACAGCACTAAGGTCCTGGGTTCAACTACGGGGTCTTTCTGTGTGGAGTTTCCATGTTCTAAATTGTCCGTAGGTGTGAATGTGAGTGTGCTTGGTTGTCTGTCTCTAAGTGTAGCCCTCTGACAGACTGGTGACCTGTCCAGGGTGTCACCTGTCTTCACCCTGAGTCAGCTGGGATAGACTCCAACCCCCCCACGACCCTAGTGAGGATTAAGCGGTGTATAGATAATGGATGGATATTTTTGAAGTATAAGCATTTCCAGCTTTTCTTGAATGTTGAAGATGAATCTTTTAATAGATAAGTTACTTTTTCTTGTGCTGAATGACAACAGCAACCTGAATTTTCTGAATTGCTTCTTACAAATTCCGTCATTTTGGACTTCTCCTTGTGTAAGCTGTCCTCCACAACTGTAGTTCACTGTCTGTATTAATCTGTTTCTAAAGGATACACGATCATTTCTGCCTGCATATGAACAAGAGAAACAGGAACATAATGACGTACATTTGTTATCAGTTATTCAAATATTCTGGATTCTTTCCCTCTGCTGTCAGTAGGTGATGACTGCTGATAAGTGTTTTCAGCATGTTTATCATGAATGGCTCTACTTAACTTTCTTATGGTGGTCAAAGGCTGTTGATTTTTCTACATAAATTCTAGACACATATAACAGTCACACAAGGTAAAGTGACAAAAAAGATGTTGTATGTAGTTCAGTGATAGCAGTTTATAATTCAGCAAACACACACACAAACTGTGTTGTTAGTTGTGTAGAATCTTGGTGAGCTTGTGTCGTTAAATAAGGCTTAAAGGAAAGAAGCTGACAGTGAATAAGGATGTTGGATGTTATCAAACCTGTTCAGCCAGATAACGTCCTTTGATTTGAGGGATAAAAACTTCACATGTCCAGCTTCCTTTCTGCACCAACAGATATAAATCACACGTTATCACCAGTTGCATAATTCCCACGAATATAAAACACATGTTGATTTTTTTAAAAAAAGGCCTTCACCTTAGTGTAAGGTGTTTAGTATCGTCACGTATCAGTTTAGGTGGAGTATGTTCACTATCTGTTACACTTTTAGAAAGGCAAACATTGTACTTTTGATTCCACAACATTTAATTGAGTCACTTTGCATATTCAGATGAATAATACAAAATATAAAGTTTTATTGGTCTTGACAGGAGATTTACAAACTACCCAGCAGGAAATAAAGTCATTAAAATCAGCTTCACCTTCACCAGCTGCAATATAAAAGTCAGAGGTGAAAGAAGTATTCAGATCCTTAAATTAATTTAAAGTGCCACTTCAGCAACGAAATAATACATTACAAGTAAAGATCCTGCATGAAAACCCAACTTAAGTAAAGGTACATAAGAATCAGCAACAAAATGTGCTTAAAGTATTAAAGCAAAAGTCCTGGTTTGGTCCCTCTGATTGATAAATTATTATATATGATATGATTAACTTGTTAATAGTGTCAGCAGCATGTTAGTGCTGTTGTAACATGTAAAAAAAGTACATAGGAGCACAAAATAGAAATACTCAAGTAAACAATTATAAAAGTACAAGTTGTTGGACATTTATTTACCTTTTTAAAAGCATTGGTGTCAATGAGGGCGGCATGATTGAGCACTGTCACCTCACAGCACTAAGGTCCTGGGTTCAACTACAGGGTCTTTCTGTGTGGAGTTTCCATGTTCTAAATTGTCCGTAGGTGTGAATGTGAGTGTGCTTGGTTGTCTGTCTCTAAGTGTAGCCCTCTGACAGACTGGTGACCTGTCCAGGGTGTCCCCTGCCTTTGCCCTAAATTAGCTGGAATAGGCTCCAGCCGCCCAGCGTCCCTACTGAGGATTAGCAGTGTATAGATAATGGATGGATGGATGTTTGTTTATTTATTTATTTAATGTTGCATAGCATTCTGTTATTATTGCTGTCAGAGACAATGTTCTATTGTCCTGGTTCTTTGGCGCCCTGTTAAGAGCCCTGTGTTCATTGTTATCTACTATTAAGAAGAAAAAAAAAAAAAAAAGGGGGGGGGGGGTAAGTAAACAAGTGTGTGATATTCACCCATCTGTAGTGGAAGGCTGAACTCATCTTTTGTGGAACAGACAAGGCGAAAAAAAAGTAACAGTAATCCATAGAGAATAGAACCATCAAAAACGTTTATTCAACACACACAATGACAGTTACACTGGATTGACCAGTTCCTGACACTGTTGCTGTCAGTCTTGCAGTGCATTTAAGTTCCCTTCCAGTCGATTCACTTGGTACAACGTGCATTCTACTGAACATCACATCCCTGCAGGGACTGATATCAAATACAATATGTGACACCTCATTCCTCCCCTTCAGGAAACACAAGTTTTAACATTTAAGGTTTTCTGTCAATAAATTTAATTGCTTAATTCTGTCAAAACACGACTGACAAACTAAGTGTCAGATTCAGCAAAGAATGCCTTGGTCAGTTTTACATTCGCTTTTATCATAAATATATCTTAAAGTTGCAGCTTGAAGGAGACTAACAGTGTGAGCAGCAGTGCCACTTAACAACACACCACTGAGTGGACAAAGAATCAACAACTGTCTGCTGTGTCTGGATAAAGATGTCAAACTGATGCATGTGCGACAACCAGCAGTCTGTGGAGTTTGAAACATGACAAGAAATGGAGTTCCCTACCACATATACCTAACCAGGGACATAATGTTAACCTTTGGTGTAGTTGATTGTCGCATAGCTCGTTTTAAATTTAACAATAAGTCCCAAATGTTTGTTTTCTGTGTGGGTATGTGATGACAGGTGCTGAATGCTGAATGATGCCACTCATGGATGTGATGTTTCGATGACACCATCCAAACAGAGAAGAAACAGAACAGGATAAAAACATTCCTAATCAAGACAGGAGACAAGAAGAGAACTGCCAACAGAAAGAAAAACTAACATATATAAGCCAAGGCTGGAGAAACCCTCTACACCCCTGCTACAGTTGGACAACTTTAATAAACTTTACATAACTTGACAAATACATCAACGATACTGTCCAGCCCTAAACTGTTGCATAGTAGGAAAAGTTTCATGGTTGAAGTCTAGGCCAAGTCCTCTTCACCCTCCTCACCCTCAAATTCTCCCTCTTCCTCAGCTGTGGCATCCTGGTACTGCTGGTACTCGGACACCAGGTCATTCATGTTGCTCTCAGCCTCCGTGAACTCCATCTCGTCCATGCCCTCACCCGTGTACCTGAAATAACATAGTAGTAAAATACTTATTCACAGGCGGCATGTTAGTATACGCATTTGGGCTTAGAACAGGCCTACAGAAGTACATGAACCTCTCCCTCGCTGTGCGTTACTCACCAGTGCAGGAAGGCCTTACGGCGGAACATGGCAGTAAACTGCTCCGAAATGCGCTTGAACAGCTCCTGAATGGCCGTGCTGTTGCCAATGAAAGTGGCGGCCATCTTGAGGCCGCGTGGAGGGATGTCGCACACTGCTGTCTTGACATTGTTTGGGATCCACTCCACAAAGTAGCTGCTGTTCTTGTTCTGCACGTTCAGCATCTGCTCATCCACCTCTTTCATGGACATGCGGCCTCGGAAGATGGCGGCGACCGTGAGGTAGCGCCCGTGGCGTGGGTCGCAAGCTGCCATCATGTTCTTGGCATCAAACATCTGCTGGGTGAGCTCAGGAACTGTCAGTGCCCTAGAAACAGAAAGATAACTCAGTTGGGATTCATTTTAACTGAAAAGTAAACAATCTACAACTTAAGAGTCACGATGAGTTTGCAAAAAGCAGGGGGCTGCTTCTCTACCTGTACTGCTGACTGCCCCTGCTGGTCAGAGGAGCAAAGCCTGGCATGAAGAAGTGCAGCCTAGGAAACGGGACCATGTTGACGGCCAGCTTCCTCAAATCAGCATTGAGCTGGCCAGGGAAGCGCAGGCAGGTGGTCACCCCGCTCATGGTGGCTGAGACGAGGTGGTTGAGATCACCATAGGTGGGTGTGGTGAGTTTCAGTGTACGGAAGCAGATGTCATACAGGGCCTCATTATCAATGCAGTAGGTCTCATCTGTGTTCTCAACCAGCTGGTGGACGGAGAGGGTGGCATTGTATGGCTCCACCACTGTGTCCGACACCTGGAGGAGGAGAGAGAAGCGATGGAGGAAACAAAGGGAGGAAAATGCAAAAGTGTTAAAGCAGGGAGGAAGCAGGCAGAGGGCCAAACATGTAATCTGAAAATATTTGAATTCATTATAAGGACCTTAGGAGAGGGCACCACGCTGAACGTGTTCATTATGCGGTCTGGGTACTCCTCTCGGATCTTGCTGATGAGCAGTGTGCCCATACCAGAGCCCGTGCCTCCTCCAAGGGAGTGTGTGAGCTGGAAGCCCTGGAGGCAGTCGCAGCTCTCGGCCTCTTTTCTCACCACATCCAGGACTGAGTCGACCAGCTCAGCTCCCTCAGTGTAGTGGCCTTTAGCCCAGTTATTACCGGCTCCACTCTGGCCTGCGTTACATGCAAATACAAAAAGCTTTCACAGCTGCAGGGTCAGAACCTCCCCTATCTTAATCTATTTGAAGTCTGACGTACTCCTATTTGCAAATTAAAACACAATTTACATGCAATGACAAGTGCCTACACTGAACGTGACTGTCATTTTTACTCTCACAGGACAAGTAGGGCATTTTCATTTGCCAAATGAATTTGAATTTTTATTTAAATACTCACCAAAGACAAAGTTGTCTGGTCTAAACACCTGACCAAAAGGACCAGACCTCACAGAGTCCATGGTGCCTGGCTCCAGGTCCACCAGCACTGCACGAGGGACATACTTGCCACCTGTTGATGAACGCATACCCACAAAAAAGATTATTTTATGAAGCAAACTGTGAAACTATAACTGCAAGATGTTGCCTGCATTGACCTTACTCTATTTGAGTAGTAGGAATTAACTAATCATTTGAAATGCTGACAGAACACATAAAAAAAAATAATAATTCAGACCCACTTTCAGCTCTGTGAAGATGCTGTCGCCATTTCTAACAACTTTAGCTATCTTACAGGCTAAGTGAAATAAAAAAGTAATAGATCAAGGATAGGATGTTTTAAGATTAAGTCACCTGTTTGATATCAATTATAAATCATTGCTATGAAGTTTAGATTGCCAGCACAGACACAGAGGAACTAACCAACAAGTCCCAAAGCCATATGAAAAGCTGCTAACAAATTGCTTTTCATTTGACGTAGTTAGGAAACTTGTTCATTTATATTTCCTAATATTAGTTATCATATTTATGTTCTGCTGATTTGATTTACTCATAATACCTCCCTTGTATTTTTTTTAATTTAAATTTTTAACGTCAGCAGGGGTTTAAAACACAAGTAGAAGCTAGAGCCGGTGTAATGGCTGGCTATTGTGTTAGCTGACGGTTTGTTGGTTTGTTGTGTCATGGAAACTGAGCGACAGTAACCAGGACGCAGAGTCAGGAGGAGCCCATTCACTTCAAGACTGATTTCTAACGGCTTCTGGTGACATAATGCCCCCCTGCAGGATAGCAACGGTACTAACAAGTCTTCCGTGAGGTATTGAATTACCTCGGCTCACCCAGAAATGAGATAATCTAACTCAGTAGCACAGAACAGTTAGCAAAGTGAAGTGAACCTGTTGCCTCGTTGTAATAGACGCTGATTCGCTCCAGCTGCAGGTCGCTGTCCCCATGATATGTCCCGGACGGGTCGATGCCATGTTCGTCACTTATTACCTCCCAGAACTGGAATCATAGAGAATAAGTTCAATAAGCTTGATAACTAGCAGGACTTACCGCCACCAGTCAAAACCAGCAGTGCTATCATTAGCTTTCCCGCTAAGTAAGCTAATTTAGCAGCCCGCCTAAACCAAATTTAACATTCGCTCTCTTTTTCCTATGAATTGGTGCGTCACTTTCAAACTAAAGCGATTCTCACCTTTGCTCCGATCTGGTTGCCACACTGGCCGGCCTGCAGGTGAACAATTTCTCTCATTTTCTGTCGAAATTGAAGAACTTTTGAACAGTGACCGCACAGGAAAAGTTGTTGCCGCTCGAGCTCTGCACCAACTGACTAACCTGAGTAGGTGGGACTGTCGCCAGATACAAACCGCCGACAAAGGCGATTGGTGCAGATAGCTGTCAGGCAAAGCCCACATGGCAGCTGATTGGTCGAGACAACTTGCTTTCGAGTTTTGATTGGATAGTGTTCGGGGGCTCGGTTCCCTTGGTAACATACAGTTGAATTTAACACACAACAACGCCTTTGCTGTTGCACACTTAACCCTCGGGTTTTGTGGGCATGCAAGTGCAAGCGCAAGTGCACAATGCAACATCTCAGTTTCAATAACAACTCAGTAACACATCTAAGCAGGATTCTCATTTTGGCCCTGATACAGGAGCTTTCTGTTGCACAACAGAAATCTTACCTTAAACCTGCCACTGAGGTAATGGATGATCATATATTATTTCTTGATTTAACATTTATTAGGTGACAATAGGCTGGAAAAGCAATCCTACACGATAAGATTAGAAAGAAGGTAATTAATATTATGTTCTAAGTTAGTTCTATTGACTAAAAATAGGTGATGGGGAGCATCATAACTCACCTGAACAGGTGTTCAGTCAACTGCCAAGAGTTTTTACTTCATCCAGTTTTTGATATAAGGCTATATTTATGAATAAAGTGACTCCCAAGTAGATTGTTAAATTCTATAACAATAATTTCCATTGTCCTTTATAAATACTCTAGTACAGTATTCTGAGGATGCAGCGTGTGCTTGAATTTAAGCTCACTCTGACAAGAAGACACCGAAAAAAAATCTGTTTTATCATTTCAGTATCTTAATTCCAAAATAAACGTATGTAGGTGTGATGAGCTTAAGTGAATCTTTAATGCTCAAATGCATTATGTGGATAAATTCAAGAGTCTGAAACTCACTTATGTGGCTTCTAGTCGAACTCCATACATCAGAAGGTAAAAATTATTTATGTCATTGTTTTTGTAACGTAGCATTTTCTCAGCTAAACAGAGGAGTGATAATATATCTCATACATTCACTAAAACATTTGATTGTTGCAGTTATTTTCTGAGGTAATCAAAAATGTCAGTTAGAGAACTAAAACTAAAAGACCTGTTTGTCACTTTTGACAATTTACCAAAACTTACAGATATCATACATCTGCGAAAACATGTTTGTGATGAAAACGTGTTTAATCATACAAGATTTCTCTCATTTAACAAACAAATCCATGTAAACGGAACCAATGGTTCTTTTTATGTTGTCACTAATTGTAATTAATTTTAGGGATACATTAAAGATATTAAACTTGAATCTAACTTTTACATCTATAAAATAAAAAAAGAAATAGTAGTCTTTTTGTGAAAATGCTAGATTTTCTTTAAAAAAAATGAAATTCTAGGATTTTCTTTCTTTTTTTTTTTTACAGCTACAGGTTTTGGCGTTAGTTTATGTTATATATTTAAAGTCACTGCCTTAAAAAAAAAAAAAA